TTGTCGTTTTTTTTGTCAATTTTAACACTTTAAAATGATTCCCTGGTTTAAATAAGCTTTCAAATGGCTTAGGCTTTCTAATTTGAAATTAGAATTGAAATTAGAATTCAAAAAAGCTTCAATTCTCTAGATTCTCTAAATTTGCCATTGCCATCAAAGAGATCGTAGCAAAATCTCGAAAAAAACGTTTTCCTTCTAGATTCTCTGTCAATTTTTCAACGAAATTACATCCCTAATTCTATAATTTTCTTATTTCCTCTAAATTTTCTCCACTATTTTCTATTTTTTTGCTCTCTCTTTGCGGGTCGGTGGCCGCCGGGGTCCACATCAGCGAGCCGCGACGCAAACCGCTCGCTTTCTGTCCTTCTTTTTCTTCGACTCCTCCGTCTCTTCGACTAGATTGGACACCACGTTATATTATCTTTACACATCTCTATATTTCAGCTATTTGCTATATCTTGCTCTAAAGATCCGTTTCTTGCGTTTCTTATCACGTTTTCCCATGCCAACCTTTCTCTTTCTTTTTCCTGAACTGTCTTGATACTCTTTTTCTTATTTATTATCCATTATTTAGTAGATATTTTCTATATTTATATCTAGTATTCAATTTCTGATCTATCTTGACCCATTTCCCCATGCCAACCCTTCTCTTTCTTTTGTTAGCCTATCTAATAAGCTCCGCCCCTTTGCCATTGACCAACCCAACTTTAAACTCAAATTTCTCGGTCTTGGTCTGTTCAATTTAAATAGTTTTTATACCAATCAATAGAGAAAGACTTGACGCATCTAATGATATCAAGAATATTTCAATTGGACAACCCAACACCAAGTTATTTAAGCTCAAAGTCGGATTGCTAATGGCAAAGGGGCGAGGCGCGTATAAAAGGACCCACAACTCCGCCCTCTTTGCTATTGGCAATTCAACTTTGAGCTCAAATTTCTTGGTTCTTGGCTATTCAATTTAAATAGTTGTTATACCAATCGATCAATATCTGATCTATCTTGACTCATTTTCCCATGTCAACCCTTCTCTTTCTTTTATTAGACTGTCTAATAAGCTCCGCCCCTTTGCCATTAGCAATTCAACTTTGAACTCAAATTTCTTGGGGTTGAGCTATTCAATTTACATATTCTTGGTATCATTAGATGCGTCAAGTCTTTCTCTATCGATTGGTCTAAAAACTATTTAAATAGCACAGCCTAACGCCAAAATTGAGTTAGATTGCCAATGGCAAAAGGGGCGGGGTTGTGAGACTTTTTATACGCGCCGCCCCTTTGCCATTAGCAATCTAACTTTAAGCTCAATTTTGGCGTAAGGCTGTGCGATTTAAATAGTTTTTATACCAATCGATAGAGAAAGACTTGACGCATCTAATGATATCAAGAATTTTTAAATTGAACAGCCCAACACCAAGATATTTAAGCTCAAAGTTGGACTGCCAATGGCAAAGGAGGCGCGGCAAATGTCCGATAATCTAATAGTAAGCATAGTCTACCCAATTACCGAGTATCCATTTCATTATCATTATTTACTATACTTTCATATATTCAATAGCACTGATACATATATTTGGCTTTATCTATATCCAGTGCTTTTCCATTTTCCCATGCCAATCCTTCTCTTTTCCCCTTTTGTCTCATAGCCACCCTGTCTGCCCGCTTTCAGTTCATTCGCCCAATTCCGGTTTCTCTTTTTTTTCCATTTTCTTGGATTTCCTTTAGCAACACGTGGATAAATTAGCTAGATTATTAAGAAAAATATCGTTGAACCAAAATAAAACAAAACTTAACTAGCTAGCCACTTTTTTAATCTTTATTTTTGTTTATCGAATGGTAATCATCTTTCAAAAGTCACTTCTATACTTTGTACTCAATTTTAAACGCATTTCTTCTAGTGCAATCGATTCTCAATAGCTATTAGGAGTCGCTATAGAAAAATGCGTCATGCGTCAAGAATTCAGTGCGTCAGAAAGAGTGTTTTTAAAATTGAGCACATAAAAACATGATAAAGAAATTAATGACGTGATTTCTGTTTTAAAAAATCGAGTTCTTAAGTTCTTTTTTAACTATTTCATGTTATTAAATCACGAAAAAGCCACGTGGAGTTTGTTTTTGAGGTTTCGATTTTTGTTTTTGCTCTTTTCAAGGCAATTGTTGTTTATCTGACTAGATATTGACGCGAAAATATCCCAAAAAAACCAGAATAACGGGGGTGGGACAAATGCGACCTTTTTTTTGTGCACCTGGACATTTGTGCACCTTTTTTTGCTGGAAAAGGCCTTAGGAAAAGTCGTAGAGCTTCAAAAACGTTTTCATAGAAGGGAATCGTATGCGTAAATTCAGAATTTTGACAAATCAGACCTCGCTGACACGTCAAATTTGGGCTAAAAGCACGTGTGGCTGACTGGTTAAGTGTCTCTTATCTTAATCGGAAGGTCGAGGGTTCGAACCCCACATGCGACATGGTCACCCCCTTCGGATTTCCTTTCCCTTCGGGTTGAGAGGTTTTCTGGAGGGCAGTCTGGTGGTTGTGGCCCCAGTTCTTTAAAGTGACAAGCCACTCCTTCATCGTCATCTTCCCTTCACCACCAAAAAAGCTATTTAGTTCCCCATTGAGCTTAGGGTTAGGGAGCCGTCTGTCATGACGTGGGTTAAGTTAAGATATAGCCTAGTATTGTGTGTGTCGTTGTATTGTGATTGATATATTTCGTGTATGCGATAAATTCACCACTGGTAGCCCCAGTCGGTATTTTTTTTTTAAAAAAAGGCAAAAACTGCGGAAAAGCGTTAAGTTGCGTAGTTTTTGCCTTTTAGCCCAAATTTGACGTGTCAGCGAGGTCTGATTTGTCGAAATTCGGAATCTACGCATACGATTCCCTTCTGTGAAAACGTTTTTGAAGCTCTACGACTTTTCCTAAGGCCTTTTCCAGCAAAAAAAGGTGCACAAATGTCCAGGTGCACAAAAAAAGGTAGCATTTGTCCCACCCCCACGTGGAGTTTGTTTTTGAGGTTTCGATTTTTGTTTTTGCTCTTTTCAATGCAATTTTTGTTTATCTGACTAGATATTGACGCGAAAATATCCCAAAAAAACCAGAATAACAGATTTTTTTGTGGAAAATCCTTTAAAAATCGCTCAATTCACTCAATATTTGCCAAGATTGAGTCAATTATTTTGACTAGAATTGTTTTTTTACATTTTTCGCGTTTCCAGTTTGACTAACTAGTCATTTTAGCTGAACTAGTCATTTTAATTGAACAAAAATGTCTTTCCAATATTGAATTATCATTTATTTGATGAGTCTTTGGATTTAAGACGTCTCCTAATTTGTTTCATTACCATTGTTGTCTTATTAACACCCAAGAATCTTTAAATGCCGATTTCATTGACTCATTTTTCTATAGTTTCTCCAATCAATCGATTTCTGCTAAATTTCCCTGTTGTGAGTTCCAGATCACTCGAAAATCGAAAAAATTTCTCAAATTTCTTCAAAAATGATCTCTTTGTTTGTGCTATTGTTATTTTCTTTTCTTTTCTCTTCTCTTCTCTTTTCTTTTTTCTCTTCTTTTCTCTTCTCTTCTCTTCTTTTTTCAAATTTCCCTTCTCTCTTTCTTTTGATTTTTTTTCTGAAAAGAAAATCATTTTACCTTTATTTTACCTTCATTTCACCTTCATTTTACGATAGACTTTTTGCATTTATATTGGTAAAGTTATTTAGTTATAATATTTTGCTTACAGAACCATGGATCAATACAGAACGGGTACTGGACAAGCCGGATTCATCTCGGGATTGGAGGACACGGCTGATGATGTGAGTTTTGCCTTTTGAGTTTGGGTTTAAGTTTAAGATTTAAGACCGTTTAAGAACGGTTTTAAGATTCATAATCAATTCTATAAGTGAGCTAGGCCTTGATTCAATGTGAACTAGGCATTGATTTAAAGTGAGCTAAGCCTTGATTTAAAGTGAGCTAGGCCTTGATTCAAAGCAAGCTAGGCCTTGATTCAAAGTTAGCTAAGCCTTGATTCAATGTGAACTAGACATTGATTTAAAGTGAGCTAGGCATTGATTCAAAGTTAGCTAAGCCTTGATTCAAAGTGAGCTAAGCCTTGATTTAAAGCAAGCTAAGCCTTGATTCAAAGTGAGCTAGGCCTTGATTCAAAGCAAGCTAGGCCTTGATTCAAAGTGAGCTAAGCCTTGATTCAATATGAACTAGGCATTGATTCAAAGCAAGCTAGGCCATTGCCAGTCACCACCTTTTCCCTTGAAAATTGAATGCTACTTAAAAAATCCTAAAGCAAAAACAGAAACAAAAAGTTTTTATGCCTTTTCTAATACTTATAATTAGACTAATTGAATTAGTGTTTTATTATGAATCATTTTAAGTACTTTTCTTTTTAGGTATTGCGAAAAACGAGGCACATCTTGCCACATATCGCTCGCCTCTTTCTCATCTCGACTTTCATTGAGGACGGGATTCGAATGTGGTGGCAATGGGATGATCAGAGACAATTCATGCAGGTGAGAAAAGTTAGAGAACATTCTAACAATAAGAGTAATCTATGCAAATAAACAAAAGCATGACAAGACACACAAAAAAACCCAATACAACAGAACAAAACACAACAAAACAGCATGACAACTTCACTTTTCTCTCTCATAAACTTTTCACCATTCATTTTCCCTAGGATTCTCTGTGTTATCATAAATTTTGATGACGCTAAATGTAGCTTTGTAGCTAAATCAACACTAAAAAGCATTTGAACTCATTGAAAGAGTCTAAAAATATAGAAAATTGATTAACAATTCCAAAACATTCAACATTTCAAATTTTGGTCAGGTTTTATTTTGTTTTTAATGTTTAAAGATGATAAAGATGATAAAGATGATTAAAGATAATTAAAGATAATTAAAGATAGACTAAAAATCAATCTAGCATAATTGTTCAGTTATGTATATTTTTTTTCAGGAATCATGGAACTGTGGCTGGTTTCTAGGGACGGTGTTTGTCGTCTACAATTTCTTCGGACAAATGATTCCTGTTACGATGATTATGTTGAGGAAAAAGGTGAAGAAGGAAAGAAAACAGACGCAAGAATATAAGAAAGAAGTAAAGGAATTGGCAAGAAAAGGTAGATTTCCGGAGGGATTGAACCCTCTATCCCTTTCCTTTCCAGGCAACTTGCTCTAACCACTGAGCTATTTGGTACCTTCGATTTGCCAAGAGAAAGAAGGAAACACAAGTCTAAGTTTCCTCTCCAACAAGCGCTCATATCTCGACATCAGTACGTTTGTTTCTGCGCGCTTAGGTATCAAGTTAAAGTAGAGAGGATGGGTGATTTTTTTGAGTTATAACACATATTTTTAGCATTAACCAGCGCTTAGAAAAAATGATTGAAAAGTGGCAAAAAAACCCGATTTTTCATCATTTTTCAATAATTTTTTTCTAAGCATTGGTTAATGCTAAAAATCTGTGTTATATTTCAAAAAATCACCCATCCTCTCTACTTTAATTTGATACCTAAGCGCACAGAAACAAACGTACTGGTGTCGAGATATGAGCGGTTCTTTGAGTGTAAACTTAGACTACGCGACGCTCCCCTAGGGGCTTCTATTAGAGCTTTTGTGGTAATTGTGATTTTCTAGGTGATCGTTGCCGTTGCGATTCTCACCTCAATTGTGGTCCTTCAAACGATCGCCTATCACATTTTGTGGGACATGAAGTTTTTAGCTAGGTTTGTCAATTTCTAATAGTTATTTCAAGAGTGTGTTCCTCGCGAGCAAGTAAATACTCGAGTAAAATTTGCATGAGTAATCTTTTACTCGAGTAATAGCTCGAGTAATTGTCGAGTAATGCGTTTTCTAAAAAGTATGCCTGCGCGAAAAAGATATAAAAGCAATTTTTTGCGCAGGTTTTGGAGTAGGCTAGTTTCCGCAACTAGGTCATTTGCGGAACTGGGTCGTTTGCGCAACTCGCCATAACCTTCTTCCAAGTGGTCTAATCTTTATGCTTGTGGTTTCATTTTGTAGATCTCAATAAGTGCAACAAAATGAAACCAACATCATAAAGATTGGTCCACTTAGAAAAAAGTTATGGCGAGTTACGCAAATGACCAAGTTGCGGAAACTAGTCTACTCCAGGTTTTTAAAAAAAAGTCATTTTTTATATTGGAACGGAATTTCCCACCAAATCATTTAAACGGCTGAGTATCTTTAAAAAGTGTCGTATATAAGACGCGGCTCGTGATTTTCGGCATTGCAATAATTTTTGCTAAAAGTACGGGATTTTTTCCCAAGTGTGCGTTTTAAAAAACGCATTACTCGCGAGGAAAACACTCTAGTTGTTTTACTTGTAGTAATTCTATTTTTTAATCAATTCAAATCAATTCTACAACCTTTCAATCACCTGTTCAAAAGAATATAGCCACTTTTGATTGATAAGCGAAAGGAAGATTTTTCAAAGGTGATTAGGGGACAAAGAAGAGAACTGAAAATGATTTTGAAAATTATAAATCTTGAAAAGTGTTAAAGAAACATCAAAATTGAATTTTTACGGTTATCGGGCGCATCGAGTTTTTGACCAACTTGCAACTTATTTTTAAGTACCTTAAACTTATCAGATCATAAAGTTTTAATAAGATTTGGATAGCTTAGAACGTTAACTTTCAGAAAATATTTGTTTCATCAACATTTATCAATTGCAACCTATCCAAAATTGGGTTACAAGTTGGTCAAAAACTCGACCTCCGGATAACCGTGAAGGTCCCTAAAATTAAATACGTAATAGAAAATTAGACATAAATGTCTAATTTTTTAGAGATAAAGAAATTTTCATGATTGTATCATTTTTAGAAACATTGCTGTTGGTGGCGGTCTTCTCTTTTTGTTGGCCGAGAGTCAAGAAGAGCATCGATCACTTTTCGCCGGAGTGCCCACAATGGGTGACTCGAATAAGGTAAGCTTTCAATCTTTTAAAGAAAGAAATCTACACAATCAAAGCATTTCTTTGTGTCAATTTGAGATGAATACAGATTGCTGATGGATAGAATTGTTCAAATCAGCTCAAATCCCGTATTTTCTCTAATAGTAGTGCACTCGGTCGAGCCGAGTTAATGCCTAGTTTACGGTTTCCAAGTTTTGCACAGAAGCTCAACACTCTAATCCCCACTAGATCTCATCGTCAGCTACATTTTCCGACCCCACATCGATAGGTTCTGATAAACGCTTTTCGAGATTTCAAGTGATTTAGGCAAAGCTTTAAATGAATGGCAAAGATTTAGGCAAATTTAAATAAAACTGGTTTAAAATGACTTACCGTAAATACTGTAATTGGTATCAAAGAATAGCCCTGAATTTCAGCTATTTTTTTGATACCTAAGCGCGCATTGTAGCATAAACCAGTGTCGAGAAAAACGCGTCCAAAGCTAGACTACGCAACGCTCGGCACCGTCATTATGGGGGTGGGGTAATATTACAGTATTTACGGTATATTTTGACCGATTTTGACAGATTTTCCTTTCGATTACCGAATTCTCTCTAATAGTAGTGCAGAGCCGAGTTAATGCTTAGTTTGCGGTTTCCAAGCTTTTGCAGAAGCTCAACACTCAAATCCCCACTAGATCTAATCGTCAGCTACATTTTTCTGATAAGCTAGTTTTGTTTTCGGATTCAACACTCCCGTTTACCCAAGGAAATGGCTTTGGGCGCGTCAATTTCAGACTAAACACTGAAACCTTTTGAATTCTGTCAAATCTGTGAAAATTTAGAGGAAACTAAAGAAACCCGTTATGAGATAAGTACTTGGGATTTAACTACTTGATACAAATCATCTGTGGCTTCAAAAAAAAATGTGAAAAACATCAATAGATTATTGCATTTTCCTCCACTTTATTGAATGCCTTTTAGCCGAAAAACTGGTTGATGTTGGCCGGTCGTGTGTGCTTGATTTTCATGTTCCTTTCGCTTCTCCACTTCGAGATGAGTTTCCTTCAGGTTTGTTCTAAAACCTGAAGCAATTAGGTCTAATTGCTTAAATCCAGGTTGTCGAAGTGGTTGTTGGCTTTGCGTTGATCACTCTTGTCACAATCGGTTTCAAGACGAAACTCTCGGCGATGACTCTTTCCGTTTGGTTGTTCGGATTGAATTTGTGGCTGAATGCCTGGTGGAACGTTCCATCTGATCGGTGAGTTTTAAAGAAGAGTAGATATGCAAGACTGAGTTGAACACTACAATGATAGCCTTTCAGTCAAGATTGAAACCTATCAAGATTGAAAGCTGCCAAGATTGAAAGCTGTCAGTCTTGTAGGCTTAAAAGTTGAGCCCTACAATACTAGACATTCTTGTCATTCAAGATTGAAAGCTGTCAGTCTTGAAGGCTTAAAAGTTGAGCCCTACAATGCTAGACATTCTTGTCAGTCAAGATTGAAGGCTATCAGTCTTGAAAGCTTAGAAGTTGAACACTACAATACTCGACATTCTTGTCAGTATTGTAGTGTCAGTCAAGATTGAAAGCTGTCAGTCTTGAAGGCTTAAAAATTGAGCCCTATAATGCTAGCCTTTCTTGTCAGTCAAAGTCAGTGTAAAATAGAAAATAGAGTACGATAGGGTTACTGTAGCGTTATCAGTGGTTGACACTGATAGCAAGTCTTCAAGAATACTGTAGACAGAAGCAATGGATTGGACCTTTACAGTATACTGTACTGAACTGTACTGTGATAGGCAGTGTCTAACTTCAGCTACAGGTACGGTACAGCTATAGCTACAGTAGGTCAGAGCTACAGTACACTGTAGTAGTACTGTATCTATCTATTATCATTCCAGGTTCTACCGTGACTTCATGAAGTACGATTTCTTCCAAACAATGTCGGTTATCGGTGGTCTTCTCTTGGTGATCGCGTATGGACCGGGTGGAGTATCAGTTGATGACTACAAGAAAAGATGGTAGAAAGAAAATCGATCAAATAGAAATAGTTACAGTAATCCACTTGTCCAGTGTACTTTGTGCTAAGCGGAAACGTCAATGTAAACGCACCCTTTCTAGCGCACTCAATTTCTTGCGTCTCTCAATGAGTTTCACAAAGAAATTGCACAACTAATAGTCAGTGCCCCAGAAAGTGCACGTTTACAGATTAGCACAAAGAACAAAGTCAACTATTATTTTTGATTTCAAAAATGATTACTGTAACGTTTCTCATTTGCCATTTCTCATAAAATCCTTTTTAAGCAAAAACCCCATAAACGCAGGCCATCTGGCGCATTGGTCACTTGGCTTTTTGTGCGCCAGATGCCGCGCGTTTTTGGTTCCACCCAAACACCTAAATTTTCTATACTTTTCCATATTTCCGGGGTAGACTAATTTCCGTCATTTTATTTGCGCAACTCGTCATAACTTTCTTCCAAGTAAGTCAATCTTTATGATTTTCATGTCATTTTGTAGCACTTATTGAAATCTACAAAATGATACCAAAATCATAAAGATTAGACCACTTGGAAGGAAGTTATGGCGAGTTGCGCAAGTGATGCTGTTGTACAAGTGATGCTGTTGTACAAGTGATTCTGTAGCACAAGTGATGCTATTGCACAAGCGATGCACAAGTGATGCTGTTGCGCAAATAAAATGACTGAAATTAGCCTACCCCGTATTTCGCCCCAAAATCTGGTCTTTTCCCGAAAAAACCTAGGCTATTAACTGAGCATCTTTCTTTGTTGTTTATTTAGGAAAATTTGCGTTTTCTTTTCTTTTCCCTATCTTGACATTCATTTTTCGGTTCTGGGTGCTTTTGTATCACACAAAAAAAAATTTAGTCAAATTTTCATATCATTTAAAATTTCACAAATAATAGTTAGCTACTTAATTGAATATTCTGAAATCATTTATTCTTCAAAAAATTGTGATATTTAAGCCACTTTTTGTCGTTTTACTTTTTCGCCAAAAGCTGGGTTTTGCGTCGTTTTTTGGCTCTCTCGCAAGAAAAAAAAAATTGTTATGTAAATTTGTGTTGTAAATGTTTCCCTGTTTCCTTTTTTTTGATTAGAGTTTGAATAAATATTTTGATAAAAGCATTCAGTTTTAAAATAAAAGGAATTTCATTTTCTGGGCTACAGTAAGACCTGTAATCCAGACCTTGTATTAGAGGTCTTACACTATCCAATTTTGGTATTTTGATACCATTCAATGGAAAGTGATCTTCTGCGTCGAATGACACTAAAATATCCAAATCTCAATCGACTCAGAATTCTTGCAACTACCGTATTACTCAGTAAAAACATCTATCTTAACCTCTTGATTTTGGAAATGACTATTTAGGTAATTACACTTGAGACTATGCAACAGCAAGCCACTCACGTATTCAGACAAGCGTCCCTTTGACCATTCAATGTGATTCAATTCTTTCTATAAACCGCCACATTCATTGATCATGTTCAGCCCGAAAAGCATTCACTTTATTCCTGAAAAGACATACGGAAATAATTCGCAATACAAGTTTTCAAAATGAGCACTTTAAAAAAATACACAATCTCAAAAATACAATGGATAAGCTTTAGAGGGTAGACTAAATACGATATAAAAAGCACACAAGTCGCAATGGAAAAGTACAAAAAGGTCAATTCTAAGAGAATATCACAAGAAATAAAAATTACTTTCAAAAACACATCAATTCTTACTTAAATCCGTTTCCTTTCAATGTCCGATGCGGCTTTTCTTTTCCCATGTGGCGAAAACATTGGTGAGGGCACGCTTCTTTTGATTTCCTCGCTTCTAAAATTGGGCAAGTTAATAATTCTTGACTAGTCGAGTTGGATTTCAAAAAAATTTCCAAGAAACGAACCCCGTTGATCGGGAAAAATGAGTGCAACTCGATTCTTTCATTGTTTGACAACGAGATGAACACCTGAAAGAATAATCAAAATGTCAAATTTTCAAAAAAGCACCTCTCCATTTGGTCCTCTTCCGACTACATGAGCTTGCTTTGCATCGTAGATATCGCGTTCCGGGGAGATTGTTCTAAAATGTGGATTAGTGCCGGATACTAAAACGAACTTTGAATCGACTCCATCATTCTCGAAGACTTGCATGATCTCCAGTGAGTCGCAGTGTATCACGTAGAGATATGGAGCGGTGTAGGCTAAATAGGAATAATTTGAGGGGTAAAGATCAAAAAGGTACAAACCGAATTCCATTGGTGTTAACTCCCATTCGATAATCGACTTGCGCTCTTTCTCACCGCGACTGTTCACAAAGATGCCATAATCTAAAACATAATCGTTAGCTCTTGACATGTAAGGTAATAATTTATTATCGCTTCTTTGATCCCTTACTTTGATATGCCAGCAGGACTTCATCATCTCCAGTTTCAAGAACAGCTAGAGGATAATCGGCCACATGTTCAGCCGTCAAAGTGCGCACCTAAAACGATGTTGTATAAGCAAAATTTTATTACCCAAGTTGGCTACCTGAGGCTTTCCTGAGTACAACGAGTGAGCGTGATAAAAGCTAAATTTTGAAAATTGGTGAAATCATCCAACGATCATTACCAATCAGCTCCAAAGTAGATTCCACCATGCGCCGAGAGAAGACAAGTCACTGGTTCTTGCGTTGGAATTGTCTAAAAATTGCAATACTCTAACACGAATAAGAAACATACCATATGTGCGACAAAGAAGTCCCGTTTGTACTGAAGAATGTGGATTTCTTGTGTGTCGGCAGAAAGGAGATACCTAAAATGAAAACAAAGATTGATTGCTGAATGCAATGCTTACTTTTGTTGTCCTTCTTCGTGATATTCAATCATATGCACGTACTCGATTCCAGGGATTTCTTGTTGGCGAAGTGATGGTTGACGTGACCCAAGTTGAATTCTAAAAGATGAGAATCAACACAATTTTAACTCCTTCTCCAAAAGCACCTCATTTGAGCACCGGCAAAAAGACCAAGTTGACGATTTTTTCCCGAGATGCACGCCACAATGTCCACGTCTTTCATGAATAGTAACTAAATTGCCAATTGAGTTTTAACTTCAAATCTCATGATTTACCCCTGAAACCGCCCCCGAACAGGTGACCATGAATGGCATCCTGGGGTCGGCGAGAGCAGTTGCGAAGAGACCCTCTTGAGCACCGATCTAAACAGAAAAGATTATAATTTGGCAATGAATCCTTCCAATAAAGTACCAGTGTTACTCACCAGTAGCCAATCTTCAAAAATCGTGGTCACATTGATGCTGAGATTTGTCGGTGTGTCCAATGCCAAAAGGAGAGTTGACGAGGAGAATTGCGATGGAGTCCGGGTCATGAAATGACGCTTCCGTAGAGCACTCTAAAAAAATTCACAGTTCCACATTAAAATATGTTAATATACTTGAAAAGCCGTCATCCATCTTGATGTAGAATTGTCGGTCGGGCACAACATGTACAAGCTTTCCCCGTGTGACCGGATCTAAATAAACGACACGTTGATCAAATGAAATCTATTCAACTCACCAAGATGCAATTCTCGAACTCGCCCTTCTCTCCATTTATGAATTTCACCGTCCATTGTTCTTGTTGCAGATCCATCTTCAAGAAAGCTCTGAAGGCAAAATAATTCAAAAGCCAGGTGATTAACGAACTTTTCCAAATTCTCAACCAATCCTTCATCGTCGAAGAGCATCAATCGGCATTGTTCCAGCATCGCAAATGCGCTACGCCATTGTGGATCTCGGCTACTAAAAGAACTTCCATTAACTTGCACAAAGATTTTGAGTTACCTGTAAACTCTTACTCGTCCATTCATGATTGCTGGCTGGCTTGATGTAGACTCTTTGTATTGGACCTTGTTTTGTTGCTCATGGTAGAAAGTAGCATACTAAAATGAATGCTTCCAGATTGGCAATGATCATAGGATTTAGTTTGCACAACTCATGATCAAAGTTTTACTTATTACACTTCCAACAAACCTGTGCCGGAAATCCACAAGTGTTTGTGACCCGATTGACGCATCGTCGATGAACAATCACACCGCATTCCAAACAACGCATAGCATGGCCAATCTAGATAAATAGTCAATGTTTGATGTTAGATTAAACCACTCACCCTTGGAATTCCTTCGAAACACATACAACATTTCATTTGTCGAACCGCGAAGCCAGTTTGTTGCCGCCATTTGTGTGGAATGTCATGCCGCATTTTGCCCATCGTCACACTCTTTGGCAGTGCCGGCTTCTAAAGCAAACATATAAATATAGTTTAATGGCTATTGATTTAACAAAGTGGTCGTAGGCTGAAGGGTAGATATTTGAGATGAAGTAATCATTTCCTTACCTCAAAGGTGTTTCCAATATGCGGAGCGCTGTTCATTTGTGCCAAAGGTTGTCGTGAAGCCATTTCTCTCCTTTGTGGTTCTTCATCTCCATTCTCCTGCTCATCATCCGTCGATACTTTCCGGACAAAGAGCTCTGAAATCGAAGCGAATTAGAAGTTTTCAATCTTTTGTCCACCTATAATTTAAAAACCAAACAGCTTAACGCACCTTGTTTCTTCTGATCTAGCTGCTCTCGCAATCGTTTACGCATATTCTCCAGCTCAATCACCTCAGTCATTTCACAATCAATTTGTTCCTGAAAGATCACATTCACCGGTTGCTTTTAAAAAAACTTACAATCGAGCTATCGGACGGGTGATGAAGTAGTGTGGTCTTGCTTTTCATCTTTGGCATCTTTTGCGCATTTGTGTGACGCTGTAAATGAAACAGATATCAACCATAAAAAGATATGGCTACCTGCAAGTGGTTCACCAGTTTCTCTTTTTCTTTCACCACGTCATCAAGATCACGAACTTCCGTTTCAAGTTGGCCCTAAATTTAGCAGAATTTGAATCAAGATCTGAATAGCATACCATTTTTGATCGCATAAAATCAATCTCATTCGTCGCTTCAACAAAATGCTCGGAGATTTTCGTGGCCTCATTCTTGTATCTAGAAAAGTAAATCATAAGACATCAAACTGGTCACTGACTTTTCTGCTTTATCAATCGCTTCAGTGAGTCCACGGCGAAGCCGGATATTCTCTTCATTCGTCTCCCTTTCTCGTTGATTCTTATCGAAGAGCTAAAATAAAATGAACGCTTTCGTATTCAAAGATTTAAATTTCTACTTGTTCAGAGAGCCGTTTCACTTCTTGCTTCAATTCTTCGATTTGTCGGTTGGATGCTTTGGCTTGGGTTTCGGCTTGGCGCTGTTGTTTCTCCAAGTCGCAAATCTAAATATTGAAAGTAAAGACAACCATTTCAAATTTTACCTTTTGGTCAAGTGCCTGGGAGCTGTTGGCCGAAGAGGCAGCACTTTGTTCACTACACTGCCGTGCCAAACGAGCCAACTCTTCTCGGTAGTCAAAGTGAGTTTCACGGATTTCTTCCTAAAATTCATGATTTTGCCCTTTTCTAGTTAAGCTCACTTGTAAATAGTTGATCTTCTCGACTAGTCGTTCATTTTCAACCCTCAGTGAGGCAATCTCAGTTTCAATCCCTCGTTGCTTCTCCAAATCCACTTCTTTGTCACTAAAATGAAATGTTATTTTTTCTTTATTATTCTTTTTTCAAAATACTTGCCGCAAATTTGTGTTGAGGTCAACAATTTGTGCTTTGGCTGCAATCAAACGTTGTTCCATTGCTTTCTTTTGCTTCTAAACAAAATCTGTATTAGGTTTAACAAGAAAGACTTACCAAAACGATTTCGATTTGATCATCTAACTCAGCCAATCCTTTCACCAAAATGTTGTTCTTTGTTTCCTCCGTCTTCAGCGCTTTGCGCAATGCTTCACTTTCGGATTCCAAGCGGAGGATTGAAGTAGATTGCTGTAAGTAATGAATTAGTTACAGGAAGCTTCATTCAACCAACTTCATCTCCTGCATGCAATTTCGCTCCCAATTCGTCAATTCGTTTTTGTAGATCATTGGCTCGTTGATTTGCAAGTTCCTAAAAACAAGAAAGTTAACTTCTTTACAATTGGGCCTCCCATACCTCTTTAATCTTGAACGTTTCTCTCTCGGAGACAAGTTGTCGCAATCTCTCGTCGTTCACTTCCACTTCTTCTTGTTCCTTGTTCATGGCTTCAAACTAAATGAAGAATTATATTAAGGTAACACATTGAAACGCCTACCAATTTGACTTGATCCTGAAGCTTTCCGATTTCTCGGCGACTTGCCAAAAGATCACACCGGATTTGAGCCTTTTCAAGCTTTGTCTAAAATAATAGAATTATGGATTGGCTTCATCAACGATACCTTTTCATTTTCAGAGATAAGGAATTGATGCGTTCTTTCGGTGTCCCCTTCCATCGTGCTCAATTTCTCCTGCAATTCCTCCAAATCCTTCTTTGATTGAGTAGCTGCCTCACGAACAATGTCCAAGTCCTAAAAAGATAATGCTAAATTGTACAACTTTTTAAGCATCCAAGTTTTTAAAAGCAATTTGAAAGCTTTTCCTTTGGCGCCCAAAAATGCAGAGATAAGAAACGAGGGCGGGACGGCACAGAGGCTCAAATATGTCCCCCATTCCTTTCCATTTACCTACCTTCATCAGTTCCTCTTCGCGTTGTTTTAATTCGGCCACTTGCTTGTTGAGGAACTCGTTCGTAGCTGTCACCGTTCCGTATTTGATGAGATCGACTTGCTAAAAATGAAAAGTTGATAAAGGTGAGTTAAAATAGATCACTTTATCAACCACCAAGTAGCCCAAAGCATTACTGATCGTGAAAGAGTGACAATTGTCAGCAGAATTTGCCGATAGCTTTCTAGTGAAACTTTTTGCATCCAAATCGTTCACCTCATGATTCGAATGGAAGTTGAAGATGGCAGTTAGTCGAGAGCTGAGATGTTCGTCGAGCATTTGTCCAAGGTTTTTCCCAGTGAATGAAACGCTTCTGCGTACCTAAACAAGACAACTGTCAAACAAGAAAGCATTCTGTTTTAGCTTGTAGTGATGTTGTATTACTTTAGCCAGAGCATGCATGGTTTAACGTGTGCTAATTCAAAGAACAACTCAAGTCTTTTGTGCAAGTGACTGCGGGCGTGGATTAACTTATGAATCGATTAAGTCACAGATACGCATTTAGCAACTTTGTTATAAAGACGTTCAGCCCATTTCTTACCGCCAATTCGGTATCCCGTTTTGCGATGATTCCCTCGCATTGTCGCACCTCGGCTTGCCGTTGCTTCTCCTCGCTCAGCGCCGACTCCAATTGAAGCTTGTAGTGTGACATCTAAAATGGAAAACCAACTTTTTCAGATATTCAGCAGCTCACTTGTTTCTCTAAATAGTCGACGTTTGATCGTAGCAAGGCGATTTGTTCCGTGTTCCCTCTCAATTGCGCGTTCAAACCACGCTTTGTTACATCGGCTTCCGTTAGGTCGTGCTTCAACTTCGTGATCTTGTCCAAAAGATCGTTTTCTAAAGAAACCACTGTTTTCATAATAAGAAATGATCATTGCCTCTCAATTTTTGCGTTTGAGCGAGTTCATCCTTGACGCGAATTTCCTCACAAAGTTGCTCAATTCGAATGTTTTTCACATCCAATTCTCTTGACTAAAAATGATAAAGTTAACCCGCTTCTGAAATTAAAATCCCACAAGAGTCTGCAGTTTTCCTTGTTCGAAGACAACTTCTTGGAGAGCATGACGATAACGGCGTTCGGATTTCATTAATGCGGCTTCCATCTCGGTTGCAGCCGTTTTCCTAAATATAAAAAGTTTATCCAAATGGTGACTGCTTATATCAGATATTGTAGATCTTAGACTGACATAAACATAACAAAAAGCATACTTTGGCGTTGTAAAATCCTCGCAAATGATGACGCTTGATGAGAGATTCGGACTTTTGGCGATGTTCTCCATCCTCTTCGCGTGCTCCTTGATAAGTTGACTGGCTTCCGAGATTTCTTGTCGAATGTCTTCCAATTGCTTCCCTTGTGTTGACGTGGCCTGGAGAAAAGAATAAGATCTTGGTAAATTATTGCTAATCTAAACCGCAGATTTACTATAAAGAGAGCTAACTCGACTGTACCAGAGCACTTTTTGAAAGAAACTTCAGAGAAAACGAAAAAGTTGGTGCTGTACGGGTTGGGGGCCCAAAAATTCCATATGCTAATTTCGCTTTTTATATGCTAATTTTTGTTTGCGGCTATGTTCCACATCACAAAATTGCTTGTTTTCTTTTAGATAACAACATTTATGAATTAGCAGAAGTCATTCGACAAAACTACATAATTACTTAATCAAATATAGACAAAATAGAAGAAAACAATGCGTCGAAATGCTTAAAAAAATTCTTTTTGTGTTAATTTTGGTAATCAATTTATGAAAGTTGTTAAAGGAACAAAAATTGCATAGCTATTGCAAAAATAGCAAAAATTAGCATATAAAATTCTTGAGTCCCCTCGACTTGTATAGCATCCAAAAGTTCATAGACACCGTAACAATAATCATGTCACTTTATCATATGATTATCGATTGTTTTGCAAACGTCTAGTCATACGGTTAACCTCTAACAGTTCAAAAGATACCTCTCGTTATTAGAGAATATTACAAATAGAGTTGATTTGTAAAGCTTCTGTCCAATAACAGCCAACGTAACAGTTCAAAATATACCTCTCGTTTCCTTGAAGTTGACGGGGTTCGGCTTGGCGTGAAGAACGTCTCGTCACCGTCTTGGCCTGGCATGGCTGAAGGTAGAGAAGATTAGAAAACAAGTCAAGCAAAAGAAAAGAAACCAAGAAAAGCATTGCAACATTACAGGAAGCGGGAGAATTACCCGAACACTTACTTTAGAGTCTCATCCAGCGCACAATGGGTTAAACTGTCTAATTCTTTTTGCTAATACAATTTAACACTTTTTAACATAGAAACTTATTCGATAACAGGAAATGATCTCTAAAAATATTAGCCAGTCTTCCAAGTTTTGTCAGCCGAAGCTTCCGGCTGAATGGCTAGCTTTTTAGCAAAATTTCACTAATTATCAAAGAAATTTTGACAAATATGTTTTTACTTTGATTTGGTTACATATTTGAAATGTTTTTCGCTATAACTAAAAAAAGTTATGCGGGTTTTTTGTAAATTTTGTTTAAGTTCTTTGTGGTGAGAATATTGAGTGAAAAACACTTTTCAAAAATGGTTTTATGCTAGGAACCCTATAGATTTCAGTAGTTTTAGCTTTATAAATAGTTTTCTTAAAAAAATTGATAATTTTCTTTTAGCTAGACAATAAGATTTGTTGAATTTAGCTTTAGCCTGAAAAGGTAACTGAAAAATTTTCAAAAACCGCCCAAGCCGCGTCGTGTGAAAGGGAGTGTCTCGTATTTGCTGTTGTGTCAAGCAAAAAAAGGAGATTTATGGGATCTCGTAAGTGAAACGTTAGTTCAATTGAATAATACACCATAATACAATTATAAAAATAACATACATTAATACACAACACAAAGTATGATCAAATGAATATTCATTAATGATATTCAAACATTAAAAAAGGAGGTTCTAAGGGGAGTGGGACAAATGCGACCTTTTTGTTGCGCACCCGGACATTTGCGCACCTTTTTTTCCGCACCTTGCCCATTAGCGCACCTTTTTTCACGTTTTAAAAAAGCTCTAAAAGGCTAATATTAACCAAGTTCTATTCCAAAAGTGTTTTTCTAGGTAATTTTAGGGCGTAGAATCGAAATTTTGACATATCAGAGCTTGTGGAAACAAACGGACGGAGAAAAATCGACAATTTTCTGTAATTTGATCTAGCCGTTTTGTCTTTCAAATTGGTTCCACACGCTCTGTTATGTCAAAATTTGAATTCGACACCCTAAAATTACCTAGAAAAACAACATTTGGAATAGAAATTGGTTAATATTAGCTTTTTAGAGCTTTTTTAAAACGCGAAAAAAGGTGCGCTAATGGGCAAGGTGCGGAAAAAAAGGTGCGCAAATGTCCAGGTGCGCAAAAAAAAGGTCGCATTTGTCCCACTCCCAAATTATTGTGTAAATTTGCGTTGCAATTGTGTTGCTTAAGCTTTGAATAAAGATTTTTATCACGAATAAAATTACCGTAAATACTGTAATAGTACCCCACCCCCCCCGTACAGTCGCGTAGTCGCAAAAGTTTTTTAGTCTTTCATTTTTTTCAAAGCGCCCGTACTTTCAAAAAATGCGTCTTTGGTATCAAAAAATAGCTGAAATTCAGGGCTATTTTTTGATACATAAGCGCGCATTGTAGCATAAACCAGTGTCGAGAAAAACTCGTTCAAAGCTAGACGACGCAACACTCCGTATCGTCATTATGGGGGTGGGGTACTATTACAGTATTTACGGTAGTTAATTTTTCAATAATTCGGCAATATCTAAAATTTGGCCTCCATTCACTGGGTGACCGTCGAAGAAACGCGGCCGTCCTGAGTAGTTTTCCTAAAAAATGTCTAGTGTTACCGCAGGATTAAACTGCTTTAGATCAATTTAATCTTTATTTAGCGCAGAGCCGTAAAGAAAGCTCGAAACTGTAAACACATCTGAAATCTTCATTTTTGAAGACCACTGTAATCTTCATTTTTTCTGTAGCAACTTGAAAATTCAAAAAAAAGAAGAATTCAGTGCACCAGAAAGAGTGCGTTTACATTTTTGAAGACAAGGTCCACATAGCATTTGTCAGAATCTAACCTCAATACTTTTCTTGAACTCGTTGATCTTCGAGTTTTTCACCAGCGCCACAATGCAGCCACCAAAGCCACCACCGGTCATCCGCGCTCCCCAAACGCCTGAAATTGCTTTGGTTTTAAAAATAAGCAAACTATTGTAACTTAACATATTGTAACTTTAATAATTTTAATTTTTAAAAGATTTTTGAACAAATTACCTTCACAACTTTTTGCAATGTCCACCAATTTGTCCAATTCAATACAGGATACCCGGTAGAGGTTTCTTAAGTGGAATTTTGATAGTTTTAAGCTATATTTTGTTATCTTATATATATTAGATCTATTATTTGTTATCTTAGATATATTTTAAACATTTTCCCAACAAACTTTAATGATTCGTGACTCTCCCACATCAATTCCCCAAACAGTTTGATGTTGTTGTCGAGGAGAGCCTCGGAAGCCTAGAATTTGACACTAATCTTGTTCTAAATGTCCTGATCCAAAACAATTTCAATTCTAAATTCTTTTACCTGATTAGTTCTCGAAATCTCTCCAACAACATGTTTTGCACAATTTCTTTCTTCTTGTGAGAGTTCAGGAGAATACTCAGCGAGATGAGCCTCGGTCACATCTCTCCATGATCTGGCACCCATTCTAAAGAATATTTTGTATTACTTATGAAATAAAGTACTCTTAATACTAAATACAGTTTGATTATTTTAAAAGAAAACCTGTAATGCCCAGCTACCCATGTAAGAAACCCTAGTTTTCATTACTCTAGTTGGACTGAAATCAGTCTCGGCAAGTCGACAGTAATTTTACAGTACTTGTTTTACAGCGAAATTAATGTCAAATAGAAATCACAGCTAAATAAGATACCTAAAAATAAGCTAACTGTTCAATCCTTTACTTACAGTCATGGACAAAAGTCTTTTAACGTTGGTTTTTAGAAGTTTTGTATATCTTGATCCAAATCCGACCAATTTGCAAACGGTTGAAAGATTTAAAGAGCTTATTATCACCAATTTTAACATCACAAAAAGATTCTGGAGAATGATTTTCTACCGTTTTCGACCGCAAACATGGGCCAAGGTTGGTTGTTGTACCAGGACAATGCCTCGTGCCACAAGTCACAGCTGCTGATGGGACGCCGTGTTCGACTCACCAATGGAGGAACGGCTCTGGTGCCAGGATGGTTCAAAGCAAACCGTGTTCAACTTGTGTCTGCTCCTTCCTATAGTCCTGATTTGAATATGATCCTGATTTGAATATGGTCCTGATTTGAAAAAACAGCGAGTCGACGCCTGATTCACGGTGGATTGATGTCTAGAAGGGCCGCCAAGAAACCTCTGATGGTAGCTAAGCACCGGAAGCTTCGTGTTTGATACTTCGTGCTAAGAAGTATCAAAGTTGGACGTCGCACGATTGGGCCAATGTTGTGTTCACCGACGAATCGAAAGTCAATCTTTTTGCCCCTGATGGCAACCATTTGATACGGAGACCAGTCGGACGACGTTATAACATTAAATACTTGCTTCCTACAGTTAAATTTGGTGGCGGATCGATCATGCTATGGGGTAAGAACCTTTGTATTTTGTGCCTACTGATTTTCTGATTTCTAGGAGCAATGTCCAGAAATTCACTGGGCCCACTCGTCCTTCTAAACTTAACGTTGAATGCTCAACGCTACAAGACGATCTTCTACCATTTTCGACCGTAAATATGGGCCAAGGTTGGTTGTTGTACCAGGACAATGCCCCGTACCACAAGTCAAAGCTGCTGATCTTCGACTCACCAATGGAGGAACGGCTCTGGTGCCAGGATGGTTCAAAGCAAACCGTGTTCAACTTGTGTCTGCTCCTTTCTATAGTTAAAGACTTTTGTCCATGACTGTATTTACCATCTTTTCTACAGCATGCCATAGCCATTTTCTATTTTAAACTAATTTTGACCTATCTTACTGTATTCAATTTCCAAACGCACCAAAATATTTCATATGCAAATTAGAATTATTTTTATGCTATGTATGCTACTTATTTTACCAAATACCTTAACCTATTTGACTTACATGACTTGAAGCGTTTGCTCGACGGCGGCGCGTCTCTTTGCGTATTCTCCAGAGGCTAGCGCGTGTTTCACCTAAAATATCAAAGCTTTTAAAAAATTATGATTGTTAGATCGATTACTTTGAATAAATTAGATATAAGAAGTAAGAAGAAAAGGCTTAAACCCACTCCAGAATCAACAACGATAAATGAGGCGTCTCTGGAGATGGCAAGTGGGATTCGATCGTAGGCAAGATTTCTGAATTTGTTTTAGGAAAGTTATTAGATTGAGTACTAGGTGTCTTGGTTTGGTATCTTTATTGATCGTTTTAGAAACGGTAAATCGACCAAAACACAACGGGTTTATTTTATTGAAAAGCGCTTTTCTGCAAAATGTTTCACAAGTTCTTTAAAAAGGGCTTATTTTAAGAAATTTCAAGAGGTGAGAAGGCGAGTTGTTGAAATTAAAAGCTATCCGGCTATGCGGTTTGAGCTATGCGGTTTGAGCTATGCGGTTTGAGCTATGCGGTTTGAGCTATGCGGTTTGAGCTATGCGGTTTGAGCTATGCGGTTTGAGCTATGCGGTTTGAGCTATGCGGTTTGAGCTATGCGGTTTGAGCTATGCGGTTTGAGCTATGCGGTTTGAGCTATGCGGTTTGAGCTATGCGGTTTGAGCTATGCGGTTTGAGCTATGCGGTTTTGAGCTATGCGGTTTGAGCTATGCGGTTTGAGCTATGCGGTTTGAGCTATGCGGTTTGAGCTATGCGGTTTGAGCTATGCGGTTTGAGCTATGCGGTTTGAGCTATGCGGTTTGAGCTATGCGGTTTGAGCTATGCGGTTTGAGCTATGCGGTTTGAGCTATGCGGTTTGAGCTATGCGGTTTGAGCTATGCGGTTTGAGCTATGCGGTTTGAGCTATGCGGTTTGAGCTATGCGGTTTGAGCTATGCGGTTTGAGCTATGCGGTTTGAGCTATGCGGTTTGAGCTATGCGGTTTGAGCTATGCGGTTTGAGCTATGCGGTTTGAGCTATGCGGTTTGAGCTATGCGGTTTGAGCTATGCGGTTTGAGCTATGCGGTTTGAGCTATGCGGTTTGAGCTATGCGGTTTGAGCGATCCGGCTTTTTCTCTTTAGAAACCTATTTTTTGTAAATTATTTTTGATTTAAATTTAAATTTAGAGAAAAGATAGAACATAAAAAGTTATGGGTATAACCAAATTTTCAGAAAAATGCATCCCACCATTTTCTTTATCTTTCTCGTTTTCTCTATCTTTTAAAAATTTAAGATAAATGAATTTAAGCTAAATCTAACGCAAATTTGCATCATATCAGATCAAAATTTGTTTTAAAATACATAAAATTAAACACTTAAAGCTTTTAATTTTTTTAGGGAATGACTTGCTGTTGCATAGTCTCAGGTGTGATTACCTAAATAGTCATTTCCAAAATCAAGAGGTTAAGGTACCGTAAATACTGTAATAGTACCCCACCTCCCTCGTACAGTCGCGTAGTCGCAAAAGTTTTTCAGTATTTCATTTTTTTCAAAGCTCCCATACTTTCAAAAAATGCGTCTTTGGTATCAAAAAATAGCCCTGAATTTCAGCTATTTTTTGAAACCAAAACGAGCATTGTAGCATAAACCAGTGTCGAGAAACACTCGTCCATAGCTAGACGACGCAACACTCCGCACCTTTTTTGACTTTTTTCAAAGCGCCCATACTTTCAAAAAATGCGTCTTTGGTATCAAAAAATAGCCATGAATTTCAGCTATTTTTTGATACCTAAGCGAACATTGTAGCATAAACCAGTGTCGAGAAAAACGCGTCCAAAGCTAGACTACGCAATGCTCTGCACCGTCATTATGGGGGTGGGGTCCAATTACAGTATTTACGGTAATTTCTTTTAAACAGTATTTATAATGCTTAGTTATGCACAAAAAAACGGGACTATATCAAAAGAGCGCCGAATAGAAAACGTTCAAAACAGTGCCGTCAAATTTCTCACAATTCAGAAAACCAAGTCGAACCGACCGAAGTTTTATATCAAAAAAAATTCCTTGCGTTCTTGGCTACATGATGAGTGAAACAGTTTTTTAAAGAAGTTAATATTTAATCGATAAACCTTTGGAAAGCGTCTTACTTCCAAAAAATGCGTCTTTGGTATCAAAAAATAGCTTTCAAATTTTCCCAAATGTTTGCTTACGTAATGTTTTAAACAAAAATAAACCAAACGCTCACTAGATTTATAATAATTTTCCTTTTTACTTTGCTAGTGGTCTTTACATGACATGGATGGATACAAATGGATGACAACAAGCTTGTACTTCGAGCTGCTGTGCACATTCGAAGCGCGCATTATTTTCTTTACACCCTGATAGTACTCAACGTAATAAAATGCTGCATTTTTACTAATTCTTTCAGCTCACGAGCAATCAATTTTGAGAGCATGTCCGACATGTGCGAGAGAGCAAACGAATTGATCCATAATCCCGCAAGGAACACCCGCGTACTCGTGCTCCGCCTTTTGGCATAACATCGCGATTTTCTCGGTGCTCAAGTGCACTAAAGTGTTTTAATGATAAATGCATTGAAGCTGGTAAGCTAGCTACCCAGGTTACTGTAGCTGGCTACCCCGCTACCGTAACCTATGCTCAGTATGTCTATATGTCGTAGCCGATTATGAATTTCAGCCGATTGTGGATGAGTGGATCTAGGCGCGTTCAATCATCAAGTGTTTTGGTATCATTCAACGCAGAATCATTGATAATTATGTTAAATTTTTTAAATTGGAAAGATTGGATAAAAAGAGAAAAAATTACGGGGCTTCAAAGTTTTCTCTCGAACAAACAGTTTTTTTGCTCTAAATTCTTTTCTTTTTATCTAATCTTGCTAATTTTAAAAATTTAACATAATTATCAATGATTCCACGTTGAATGATACCAAACACTTGATTGTTGAACGCCCCTAGACTCACTAATTCATAATCAGCTCCTGGGGTTGCGCGGATTTTGAATGAAACGTTCTAGTGCCCGAAATTTCTACCCTAAACTCACAAATTTGATACCAATCGACGCAGAATTGAATTCTCTACAAAATGATATAATATTGTCCTTATAAAGATTGAATAAAAGGAAAAGATTGTCCTCATAGAACAAAGGATTGCTCTACTAGAAAGATTTGCCAAAAAATTTCATTCATAATCGGCTACGACATTTACATTCTTAGGTTTATTCTTTAAATCACACTGCCAGTTTTAGTTAGGTAATTGATGTTAATCTCTGAGTTACGGTAGCATTGAAACGACTTGGTATTACGGTAACGACTTGGTATTCTCCAGGACATGAACTAGAGTGACTACCCGAGTCGCCTTTGAACAAGATCATCGATTTTCACAATCAAAACTCACCATCATTGAACTGATCAAAGAGATAGTAGAGTGCCAATTCGACTGAAGCTGATGAACTCAATCCGGCGCCCACTGGAATATTTGTGTGCAAAATGACATCCAATGGTTGATTCGGTCGATGCAACTCAAAAATCCCCTCCGCGTAGTGAGCCCATTTTTGGAGCTGAAAAATCATTTTTGTTTTAAACTACAGGGTGTTGCTACAGCACTACATAGTGTTGCGCTTAATGCATCTTTTGCATCTTTTTGCTTTTCCCATACATTAACCTAAGCTGAAAAAACAGTTAATCATCAAATCTACGCGTAATTTTACATAGAATAGAAGAACCATAACATTTTTAATGACCGATAGGACAAACGTAATTACGGGGCGTTGCGTTTGCGTACAGATAGACGGACAAACAGAGGGACAAACAGACGGACGAACAGGCAGACGGACAGACAGACAGACGAACAGACGAACAGGCAGACGGTCAGACGGACAGACAGACGAACAGGCAGACGGAGAGACGGACGGACAGACAGACAAGCAGACGGACAGACGGACGGACAGACGAACAGGTAGACGGACAGACGGACGGACAGACAGACAAGCAGACGGACAGACGGACGGACAGACGAACAGGTAGACGGACAGACGGACGGACAGACGAACAGGTAGACGGACAGACGGACGGACAGACAGACAGACAGACAGAGGGGCAGACGGACAGACAGACAGACAGACGGACGTACAGGCAGACGGACAGACGGACAGATGGGCAGACGAACAGATGAACAGGCAGACGGACAGACGGACGGACAGACAGACAAGCAGACGGACAGACGGACGGACAGACGAACAGGTAGACGGACAGACGGACGGACAGACAGACAGACAGACAGAGGGGCAGACGGACAGACAGACGGACAGACAGACAGACAGACGGACGAACAGGCAGACGGACAGACGGACAGACGGACAGACGAACAGATGAACAGGCAGACGGTCAGACGGACAGACAGACGAACAGGCAGACGGGCAGACGGACGGACAGACGAACAGGTAGACGGACAGACGGACGGACAGACGAACAGGTAGACGGACAGACGGATGGACAGACAGACAGACAGACAGAGGGGCAGACGGACAGACAGACGAACAGGCAGACGGGCAGACGGACAGACAGACTTCTCTTCCGCTTTATATATTAGTAGATATATATCAGTTTTTTGATAAACTTGATAAGGGTATCATTTGAGAGACTTTTCGAACAAATTTTAAAGATTTAGAAAAAAACGGCTGGACGGATTTGGCTGAAAATTTGAGGAAAATGTACAAATGCTTGGTCTTTCATTTGAGCAAAAAATTAATGCTAACTTTCCATCAAAAAGTTGCCAATTGAATGATTTTGAACGATTTTGACTACTTGGACCTCTGAAAAGATCTCAGAAAAATTGCCAAAACTGAAGCCTTTTAAAGACGCTGAAAAGCTCAATGTAGAACACAGATTTACTTTTCTAATGGTAAAAATCGGACCGAATTTTAATAGCTTCGTTCTCCTGGAAAAATATTAACTCAAAAATTTGCATTCAAAACCCCGACAACTTAATATATTATAAATAAAATAATTCCATATTTATTGTATAATTTATATTAGGCATTAGACTGTGATGCTATGAGAAACTGACCCTATTCTCCGCATCATCGTCTTCCTTATAGTGATAGAATTTGGCAGTTTCTTTGAAATGAGTTGAATGAATTTGGGTAAAATTTTGGTTGATCGACTTGACGGGACGAGCAACGGCGATCGTGTAGAGAGGTAAAGCCTAAAATAGATTTCAAAATCATATGCAAATCAGTTTGCAAGAGTGTGATTGAATGCGTTTGCCTAGATCTACAGTCGAACTTCGATATAATAAACCTAAAGGAACCGGTTAAAAAGTTCATTGTCTTGAAGTGTTCGTTCTATCGAAGTGTTTGTTGTATTGAAGTGTTCGTTGTCTTGAAGTGTTCGTTCGTCTTGTAGTGTTCATTGTATTGAAGTGTTCATTGTATTGAAGTGTTCGTTGTATCGAAGTGTTCGTTCGTCTTGTAGTGTTCATTGTATTGAAGTGTTCGTTGTATCGAAGTGTTCGTTCGTCTTGTAGTGTTCGTTCGTCTTGTAGTGTTCATTGTATTGAAGTGTTCATTGTATTGAAGTGTTCGTTCGTCTTGAAGTGTTCGTTCGTCTTGTAGTGTTCATTGTATTGAAGTGTTCATTGTATTGAAGTGTTCGTTGTATCGAAGTGTTCGTTCGTCTTGTAGGTCATTGTATTGAAGGTTCATTGTATTGAAGTGTTCGTTCGTCTTGAAGTGTTCGTTCGTCTTGTAGGTTCATTGTATTGAAGGTTCATTGTATCGAAGTGTTCGTTCGTCTTGAAGTGTTCGTTCGTCTTGAAGTGTTCATTGTATTGAAGTGTTCGTTGTATCGAAGTGTTCGTTCGTCTTGTAGTGTTCGTTGTATTGAAGTGTTCGTTGTATCGAAGTGTTGATTGTATTGAAGTGTTCGTTGTATTGAAGTGTTCCTTGTATTGTCTTTTTAAAGTAAAACCCATCGTTGGGACTAAACGAAGGTTCATTGTAGTGTTCATTAAATCGAACGTTTCGTTGTATCGAAGTTCAATTGTATTTGACTTGGTTAAAACATCAGATAACTACTCCTAATCCTTAACTTAGAGATAAAGCTATTTGAATAGTTATAACGCACAATTGGCAATACAAATCCATCCACATAGTCGACATGATCGCCAATCAAATTCACGCGACCAGGCGAGATACCGGCCTAAATGTGGCAGCTTGGATTTCTTTGGAAATTGAGAACAACTCAAAATTTGAAGGCTGTTAAATCAGTGTTAACTTTAAGATAAAGTAAAATTAAGATCCAACCCTCAACTCTTCGATCTTCACCTCACCAAACACTTTCCGGAACTCATCAATCGCCTCCTCAAAAACGCGTTTCTTGATTTTGTTCACTTCTACAGAATCTTGGGTTCTGAAAAACAATAAAAAATATTTTAAATGCTTCAAATTTTCAATAATTTGAACTTTTTCAAGTCCTAATCCCCAGACTCACTTCCCAATCTCCTCCTCGGCCATCATCGATCTGAAAAGCTCTCTGTCGTCGATGAAATGATCGTTTGTAATCTAAAAAGCTCAAATTTCAAAAGAAAAAAACTAAAAAGCTATTTAAAAAGGAATATTTATAGAAAACTTTCAAAAAATCCGATCTTATTTTGATCAAATTTCCCACAGGCATCCCACTAGAGAAATCTTATCAGTTGGGGTCATTTCGGGGGCGAAATTTCGAATGAGCACAGGAAAAATTGACCTTGAAATTTCAATGAAACTTGTAGAGTAAAATCTAAAGATTTTTTTACTTAATTTGAATATATTTTTAAAGCAAAATAACATAGATGTTTGAAAAACAGTTTTCCTGGGTCGAATTTGGCCCGGACCGGCGTCCTGACTAGAGTGTGTTCCTCGCGAGTAAGTAATTACTCGAGTAAAATTTGCATGAGTAAGTTTTACTCGATTGTTCGACGTTTTTGGCCGAGTAACTACGAAGTAATCCTCTTTACACGTCGAGTAAATTGAATATCTCTTGTGAAGCGAATTTGCCACCAAATCAGTTAAACGGTTGAATATCTTTAAAAGGAGCCGTGTATAAGGTGGCGTATATAAGGCGGCGTATATAAGGCGGCGTATATAAGGCGGCGTATATAAGGCAACGTATATAAGGCGGCATATATAAGGCGGCATATATAAGGCGGTGTATATAAGGCGGTGTATATAAGGCGGCATATATAAGGCGGCATATATAAGGCGGTGTATATAAGGCGGTGTATATAAGGCGGTGTATATAAGGCGGCGTATATAAGGCGGCGTATATAAGGCGGCGTATATAAGGCAACGTATATAAGGCGGCATATATAAGGCGGTGTATATAAGGCGGTGTATATAAGGCGGTGTATATAAGGCGGTGTATATAAGGCGGTGTATATAAGGCGGTGTATATAAGGCGGCGTATATAAGGCGGCGTATATAAGGCGGCGTATATAAGGCAGCGTAGATAAGGCGGCGTATATAAGCGTAGTATATAGGCCGGGTATATAGGCGGCGTATATAAGGCGGCGTATATAAGGCGGCGTATATAAGGCGGCGTATATAAGGCAACGTATATAAGGCGGCATATATAAGGCGGCATATATAAGGCGGTGTATATAAGGCGGTGTATATAAGGCGGCATATATAAGGCGGCATATATAAGGCGGTGTATATAAGGCGGTGTATATAAGGCGGTGTATATAAGGGGCGTATATAGCGGCGTATATAAGGCGGCGTATATAAGGCAACGTAGGCGGCATATATAGGCGGTGTAAAGCGTGTATATAAGGCGGGTATATAAGGCGGTGTATATAAGGCGGTGATATAAGGCGGTGTATATAAGGCGGCGTATATAAGGCGGCGTATATAAGGCGGCGTATATAAGGCAGCGTAGATAAGGCGGCGTATATAAGCGTAGTATATAGGCCGGGTATATAGGCGGCGTATATAAGGCGGCGTATATAAGGCGGCGTATATAAGGCGGCGTATATAAGGCGGCGTATATAAGGCAGCGTATATAAGGCGGCGTATATAAGGCGGCGTATATAAGGCAGCGTAGATAAGGCGGCGTATATAAGCGTAGTATATAGGCCGGGTATATAGGCGGCGTATATAAGGCGGCGTATATAAGGCGGCGTATATAAGGCGGCGTATATAAGGCGGCGTATATAAGGCAGCGTAGATAAGGCAGCGTAGATAAGGCGGCGTATATAAGGCAGCGTAGATAAGGCGGCGTATATAAGCGTAGTATATAGGCCGGGTATATAGGCGGCGTATATAAGGCGGCGTATATAAGGCGGCGTATATAAGGCGGCGTATATAAGGCGGCGTATATAAGGCGGCGTATATAAGGCAACGTATATAAGGCGGCATATATAAGGCGGTGTATATAAGGCGGTGTATATAAGGCGGTGTATATAAGGCGGTGTATATAAGGCGGTGTATATAAGGCGGTGTATATAAGGCGGCGTATATAAGGCGGCGTATATAAGGCGGCGTATATAAGGCAGCGTAGATAAGGCGGCGTATATAAGCGTAGTATATAGGCCGGGTATATAGGCGGCGTATATAAGGCGGCGTATATAAGGCGGTGTATATAAGGCGGTGTATATAAGGCGGTGTATATAAGGCGGCGTATATAAGGCGGCGTATATAAGGCGGCGTATATAAGGCAGCGTAGATAAGGCGGCGTATATAAGCGTAGTATATAGGCCGGGTATATAGGCGGCGTATATAAGGCGGCGTATATAAGGCGGCGTATATAAGGCGGCGTATATAAGGCGGCGTATATAAGGCAGCGTAGATAAGGCAGCGTAGATAAGGCGGCGTATATAAGGCAGCGTATATAAGCGTAGTATATAGGCCGGGTATATAGGCGGCGTATATAAGGCGGCGTATATAAGGCAGCGTATATAAGGCGACATATATAAGGCGAAGTATATCAGGCGGCGTATATAGGCGGCGTATATAAGGTGGCGTATATGAGGCGGCGTATGTAAGGCGACGTATATAAGGTGACGTATATAGGGCGGCGTGTATAAGGCGGCGTGTATAAATCGTCGCTCGTTATTTTTTGCGCCAATTTTTTGCAACAATTATCGCTAAAAGTACGGCAATTTTTCCTAAGCGTGCCTTTTTAAAAAAGGCACTCGTGAGGAACACTCACTAGTCCAGACATCGCTAAATCTATTAAAATTTACTAGTCTCACTGCAAAGTTCAAAATCTTGAGGAATATCTTCTTTCAAATTTGAAATTTTTCAAACTATTTGCTTTTTTTCGAAACTAGATCCAATCCTGCGTTTATACATGTAAAAAGCTTATTTTGCTTAGACAGAAAACCTGGGTAGTTGCTGGTGAATGTTTAGTATTATTTTGTTTACTCGTCCGTCATTCAATTAAAATGATTTTTATATATGCAAATATAGAATTGGATTTAGTTTGCTAAAAAATACAAATAGTTTGAAAAAATTTAAATTTAAAAGAAGTTATTTCCCCAGATTTTGAATTTTGGGGTGAAACTAGTGAATTTTAATAGATTTAGCAGATTTTAGACCCAGGCCCAGGTCAGATACCAAGGCCTGGCCTGGTTCTGACCTGATTTTCTAAAGCCTAAAGCCTGATTCTAAAATTTTCTAAAGCCTAGGTGACCGAAGCTCTTCAATTCTCACCTCCCGTATCGCTCTCTTCCAGTAACATCCCGCCGGCGAGGTGCCAAAGTCGAGCTCGAAACTGCTCTAGACAAAATATGTTTCTCTAGTGACTTGGAAAGTTTTTCTAAGTCCAAATTAAGATATGCATGGCTTAGTCTTTTAGCCTGAGATGACAACCTGATAGGATCAACCAGATATGAAAAGTCCAACCTAAGATAAGCATGGCTTAGTCTTTAACCCGAGTCAACAGTCTGGTAGGATCAACCAGATATCCGAACTAAGATATGCATGGCTTAGTCTTTAACCCGAGTTAACAGTCTGGTAGGATCATTGAGCTACACGGATCATGCGTTTTCATTCAGTCACTAGTTTAGACACTCCCCCAACATCTGAAATATCTGAAATATTGGGGAAATAAACTAGAGAAACATAGTGGTTAAAATCAGCTTTGGTTATGGAAACTTAGTGAGAGAATATCGATCAAACTCTCCAAACTAGGAAGGCGGTCCGGATCACCCGATTCTCCGACTCCAATTCCAACTCATTCGGAGATTCAACCCGCCTTCCTAACTCATTTCCCTTATCTCAACCTATTGCCTTGACTAATCTTCTCGAAATTGTCATAGTCTGATGTAGATAAAGCAATCTTCTTATCTTACAAGACAGGTTGATCGTTTATTCCGTTTATTCCACTCTATGGAAGAGTTGAGGCCGGTTGGTTGTTCTGGGAGTGGTAGGAAAAGCCTCAATCTTGCATTCTTACAGAGTAAACAACACCTCACATTCTCACTCATACACTCAAACTATCTACAGCTAGACCATAACCAAAAGTATAAAAGTACTCAGTTACTCCAACGATATTCACTCATATTAAGCTGGCCAGAAAGTCTTTTTCTTCCTTTACGTACTTCCTTTAACGAAAAATAACAAATTCATCAATTCATCTATAATTTACTCTAAATAAAAGTGTTTCTTGTTCAATTTCCAATCTTTTTAAGTCAATTTCGGTTCACTTACAAGCAAATTCGACAGTGAAAACACGGGTTTTTCGTGGAAATCTATAAAAACCTCTACGAAGAGATCGGCTGAATGAATTTCTCTGAAAATTTGGCTAAATACAAAACTTTTTATGCTCTATCTTTTATCTATTAACGCGAAGATAGGTTTCCTTAGCTAAAGTGTCTAAAACATTGACCTGTAGCCATCATCGAGCCCCTTTTTGACTATTCTTAAAGAAATCCAGAAATAAGTCCTTTTTAAGCCAGTTTTAATGTTATTTTGTAGAAAAATAATTGCTTTTTCTAATGAAATAAACTTTATTGGTGCATTTGTTGGTTTTAAACGCAAGTACTAAAATGAACGAAAAGATTTTCTGAAAAGCCTAATAGTTATATTTATGGCGTTTACATTTGTGGTTGCCTAACGCCCATGTTGAGGCTCCAATTTCTGCTCGAATAATCTTGGCTGGTCTTTTATTAAAGCTAGGTACAGAAACTATATGTTTCTATTTCAGAATATGTTTTTTCCTCCGGTTTCTGGATTGATAAATGTTGTAGAAAATGGGATACCTAGTCAATTCTGTTGTTGTTGTTGTTCTCTGCTTTTTGCTTTTTAACAATGTGGCTTGTGATGTTCTATGTTCCTTTGGACCCCCTTGGACCACCTTGGACCCCCTTGGACCCTTTTACATACAAAAAAATAAAACGTCCGTCCGTTTGTCACGCCTACGCGATAATACAAATTATGTTAACGTAAAATTACAACAAAGTGAGCTAGAAAGCTGAAACTTCTCCAAGGTTCTCCAGAACCACAAGAATCTGGACAAATCTCGGTGCTGGGAAAGAATTGATCACGGAAAAGGCAAAATTTGGGTCTCCGGCCTGGTTTCATCTAGTTTAAAGGCTCAAAACTTGGAATCTGGTGGAAAATGTAGCTCCTGTGGGGAGGGAAAATGCAAATGTGCTAAAAGGAGATTTACTAAACACAAATGCATTAAGCCAAAACGTCAAAAAATATCAAATAAAATGGGCATCAAAAAGCCCATCTTAACCTGATGCCTTTCTCTAATCAGAATCTCTTGCCCCCATCATCAACCAAATTTCGCCTTTTCCGTGATCAATTCTTTCCCAGCACCGAGATTTGCCCAGTTTCTTGTGGTTCTGGAGAACCTTGGTGACTTTACTAGTAGAACATCACAAGCCATATTGTTAAAAAAAGCACAGAAGATCGATTTATTCAAAAACTATTCTTCAATGTTATTTCAATTGATTGATTGATTTCAATTGATTAATTGAATTAATTGAATTTCAATGGGGTAGGCTAGTTTCCGTAAATTATTTTGCGCAACAGGGTTATTTGCGCAACTGGATCCTTTTGCGCAACTGGATCCTTTTGCGCAACTGGATCCTTTTGCGCAACTGGAGCCTTTGCGATATGCAATATATGGTTAGCACAGATAACGTCAAGGATCCACTAGAGCTTCAAGATCAAGATCATCTACAGATAATTGAAAGGTTTCGAGACTATTGGACTCTCCCAAAAGGATCATTTTAAAACCAACATCATTTGCGCAACTCGCCATAACTTTTTTCTAAGTGGACCAATCTTTATGATTTTGGTTTCATTTTGTAGATCTCAGTAAGTACAACAAAATGACACCAACATCATAAAGATTGGCCCACTTAGAAGAAAGTTATGGCAAGTTGCGCAAAAGGACCCAGTTGCGCAAAAAAAAGTTGCGGAAACTAGCCTACCCCGTAGAACCACACAAGCCATATTGTTAAAAAAAGCGGATTCTTAGCGGAAATCCGTTCTTACAAAAGCATACAAAAAGTAGAAACCGTCTTTTTATGTCTCTTTCATTTTGTAAATGTTATGAATCCAACTTTGATCGATATTCTCTCACTATTTCTATACCCAAAGCTAACAGAGAACAACAACAACAACAGAATTGACCAGGTATCCAATTTTCTACAAAATTTCCCCAATTCTAGTGAAAGCTCAAACCTGCGAACTCTTCCTGATCGGCCATCCGCCTCGTCGCATAGAAAAAAGTGACAGAATTTGATTTTAAAATGCAACAATTACTAACTTCAAATAATTAATTCAGTTTCTTTTTGAATTTGTGGGCATTGCTTCCGAGTCGATAATCCTTCAAGAGAAACTCAAAGAAATTTCGGAGAAAAGGAGGAGAAAAAGGGGAAAAGATAGACTTTTATCGCTTACGCAAAGAGAGAATCGACAGGTCTGAAAAAAACGGTTTGATTTGTGCTTTGATCAAATCAATTTTCCTTGATAAATGATCTATGAACTTTGCTTCATGGTGTTTGCAAAAGAATGGCAAGGTTTTAAGGATGAAATTATCCACCTCTTAGAAAACGTATTACTTACTAGCTTCTCTGAAAGTTTATACCAATTAAATCTGAGTCTTTTTCTTTCCTTTACGCACTTCCTTTAACGAAAAATAACAAATTCATCAATTCATCTATAATTTACTCTAAATAAAAGTGTTTCTTGTTCAATTTCCAATCTTTTTAAGTCAATTTCGGTTCACTTACAAGCAAATTCGACAGTGAAAACACGGAATTTTTCGTAGAAATCTATAAAAACCTCTACGAAGAGATCGTCTGAATGAATTTCTCTGAAAATTTGGCTAAATACAAAACTTTTTATGCTCTATCTTTTATCTATTAACACAAAGATAGGTTTCCTTAGCTAAAATGTCTAAAACATTGACCTGTAGCCATCATCGAGCCCCTTTTTGACTATTCGACTTTATGCTCTTAAAGAAATCCAGAAATAAGCCCTTTTTAAACCATATATCTATCTTTTTAAGCTTTATTTTTGATCTATTGACACAAAGATAGGTTTCCTTATGTTTAAAGTGTCTAAATCGCATCATTGAGCTGCCCTTTTTGACTATTCGACTTTATGCTCTTAAAGAAATCCAGAAATAAGTCCTTTTTAAGCCAGTTTTAATGTTATTTTGTAGAAAAATAATTGCTTTTTCTAATGAAATAAACTTTAGATCAATTGGTGCATTTGTTGGTTTTAAACGGAAGTATAAAAGGAACGAAAAGATTTTCTGGACAGTCCAGTAAAAATGCCGTTGCCTGGTACTTAACCTTTCTTAAGAGCCCCACGGTCATCTGCCTCGATAGCTCAGTTGGGAGAGCGTTAGACTGAAGCGACGCTCAGCTATCTAAAGGTCACCGGTTCGATCCCGGTTCGGGGCATTGTTTCGATTTTTTGGCATTGGCATTGGTTTTTCTAATGGAATAAACTTTAGATCAATTGATGCATTTGTTGGTTTCAAACGGAATTACGAAAATGAATGAAAAGATTTTCTGAAAAGCCTAGTAGTTATATTTATGGATGAAATTATCCACCTCTTAGAGAACGGATTACTTACTAGTTTCTCTGAAATTTTATACCAATTAAATCTGAGTCTTTTTCTTCCTTTATGTACTTTCTTTTGAAAAATAACAAATTCAACAATTCTAGACTCAATAAAATGAATAACCAGATTTGAATGAGTAGGCAGATTTTGAAGGCCACAACTTTGTCTAGAGATCATATTATTGTTAACTATTTATATAGTTGAATAGAGGACATTTTAAGCTTTAGAATGGTAACAAATTGAGCTTGATTGGATTAGATTTTTGATTTGATTTGATTAGGTTGGTTTTTTTGGATTGTGAGAAACTGTTTTGAACGTTTTCTATTCGGCGCTCTTTTGATATAGTCCCGTCTCTTTTTTGTGCATAACTAAGCATTAGAAATACTGTTTAAAAGAAATTAGGTTATTTTGGCTCTGGACCGTAAAGTTCAATTTAGCCGTAAGGTCAAAACTAACTGTAAGATGGTTTGGGGAACTGAATGGAAAAAAAAAACGAAAGCAAGGCTCGTCTTCTGGATCGTTACAAAACTTTGTCACTAGTGAAAGTTATGCAATGATCAGCTGTTTATATCTTTATGAACCATAAAACGAATCAATACGAAGAATTGAAGATTGCTTTGCATTTTTCGAGCACAATGTACACCACAATTTGCCGAATTCTTTCAATTTCCACCTTCAAACATCAAACATTTATTTCATTTATTTCCTTTTCAACTTAAACTAAAACTTTTCACCGTTTATTCTTTCAATCACAAAATCATTTATAAGTTAAGCTTTGTTTTCAAATCTTTTCAAATATACACGCTAGATTTGGGCTTGCATTTTCGCAAATACGATTTCGCAATAAAACGTCCGTCCGTAACCTCCTCGGGTACAATAGGAAGACGCAGCTCGACCAAGACCTAAGAAGTACGGATATGCGCCAGCTCTCGGGACTCAGAGATCCAGTGGAAGTGATTGAGAGAAAAAGACTCAGATGGGCCGGCCACGTAGCCAGAAGAACAGACGACAGATGGACGATACGGATCACAGAGTGGATACCACGAGAACAGAAGAGGCCCATCGGAAGACCAGCAACGAGGTGGAGCACAAGAGTGGCAGAGACGGTCAGAGAAAGGATGACTAGAGTGCAACCACCACCAGCACCAGCAAGTCGAAGACTTCGAACCAGGAACAATCAAGCTAGAAAACACTGGACGACAATAGCAAGGGACAGAGAAATGTGGAAGCAGGTTGTGATCTGCGCAAATAGGAACACCTAAGTGCGAAGACAAATCAGAAAAAAAAAAAACGTCCGTCCGTCTGTCGCGCCTACGCGATAATACAAATTACGTGAACGTAAAATTACAACAAAGTGAGCTAGAAAGCTGAAATTTTGTACTTGGGGGTTTCCGGGGGCGAGGAATCCGAATCTGTAATCAGATTTGTGCTACTTGCCTTCCGTACCTCTAGGTAGAATATCCGACGCTCAGCGCCAGCTGGTTTTCTCACAATTCGTTATAAAAAAGTAAGCGAAGAACCCAACCAATCTATTTAAAGAAACAAAAATTTAAGAATTTTTGAACGATTTTAAACTTTCTTCTTACTCTCTTCACATCTTCTTCGAGAAAGCTGAAAATGAAGCCGTACAAGAAGAACAAATCTCAATTACTATCAGCTGCTGCGAAGGGCAAGCGAAAAGACCGATGATGCCTATTTGCTCGCCACGGTCAACGCGTTTCCCAAACGTTTGCAGGCCTGTCTGAATGCCGATGGAGGCAAATTTGAATTTAATTGCTAATTTGTTACTGTTATATGTTGAATAAAGATATTTTAGTTAACTTTTCGAGATGGTTTTGCATATTTGGTTAAAAGCCAGGCCTTTTGTGTGTTGCGGTAATTCTTCGTCACCCTGTACACCACAATTTGCCGAATTCTTTCAATTTCCACCTTCAAACATCAAACATTTATTTCATTTATTTCCTTTTCAACTTAAACTAAAAATTTTCACCGTTTATTCTTTCAATCACAAAATCATTTATAAGTTAAGCTTTGTTTTCAAATATACACACTAAATTTGTCAAAAAGATTGAAATAAAAAAAGAAAAATTAAGCGAAGAACCCAACCAATCTATTCAAAGAAACAAAAATTTAAGAATTTTTGGACGATTTTAAGATTTTAAACTTTCTCCTCACTCTCCTCACATCACTGAGCGCTTTCCGAAGGCAGATGACAAAAATCTGAAAGTTAATAGAATAATGAAAAGAAAATGAGTTCAATACTATTCCAGGGATACTTAAAGGAGATCCAGGGATACTTAAAGGAGATCCAGGGATAAAGGAGATCCAGGCATACTTAAAGGAGATCCAGGCATACTTAAAGGAGATCCAGGGATAAAGGAGATCCAGGGATACTTAAAGGTGATCCAGGCATACTTAAAGGAGATCCAGGGATGCTTAAAGGAGATCCAGGGATACTTAAAGGAGATCCAGGGATAAAGGAGATCCAGGGATACTTAAAGGAGATCCAGGGATAAAGGAGATCCAGGGATACTTAATGGAGATCCAGGGATACTTAAAGGTGATCCAGGGATACTTAAAGGAGATCCAGGGATAAAGGAGATCCAGGGATACTTAATGGAGATCCAGGGATACTTAAAGGTGATCCAGGGATACTTAAAGGAGATCCAGGGATAAAGGAGATCCAGGGATACTTAATGGAGATCCAGGGATACTTAAAGGTGATCCAGGGATACTTAAAGGTGATCCAGGGATACTTAAAGGAGATCCAGGGATAAAGGAGGTCCAGGGATACTTAAAGGAGATCCAGGCATACTTAAAGGATATAAAGGATAAAAATGGTTTAAAAATTGACTATAAATTTGTATTTTTCTTGAAAACTGCAATGGTAATGTTCTTTTCTAACATCACTGAGCGCTTTCCGAAGGCAGATGACAAAAATCTGAAAGTTAATAGAATAATGAAAAGAAAATGAGTTCAATTTTATTTAAGGCTTGCATTTTCGCAAATAGATATTAGAAAAGAACATTACCATTGCAGTTTTCAAGAAAAATACAAATTCATAGTCAATTTTTAAACCATTTTTATCCTTTTGATCCTTTAAGTATCCCTGGATCTTCAGTTTTTAATGTTTTTGAGTTATTCAGTTGCTTAGCTGAATAACTCTTGCATCTAACCTTTTCTTAGGGCCTAAATCGCTAAAAGTAAACCCTCTCAACGCTTTTTATTAGTTATTATTACAAATAAAACTTTCCGAACTTTAGATCAAAGTCAACTCTCAAGTCATTCTCTCAGTTCCACTAGCTAGGCGCGCACACAATTGCTGGCCATGTAGCAACCCGCTTTGGTGCTTCCCTTCTGGACCCTTCTGGAGCTTTGGTGCTTCCCTTCTGGACCCTTCTGGGCCTTTTGGACCTTTTGGACCCCTTTTGGACCCTTTTGGACCCCTTTTGGACCCCTTTTGGACCTTTTGGACCTTTTGGATCCCTTTTGGACTCCTTTTTGGACCCTTTTGGACCCCTTTTGGACCCCTTTTGGACCCTTTTGGACCCTTTTGGATCCCTTTTGGACCCCTTTTGGACTCCTTTTGGACCTTTTGGACCTTTTGGACTCCTTTTGAACCCCTTTTGGACTCCTTTTGGACCTTTTGGACCTTTTGGACTCCTTTTGGACCCCTTTTGGACCCATTTTGTACCCTTTTGTACCCTTTTGTACCTTTTGGAAGTCTTTTCTATAAGTTTTTTTTTCCTATAACTTTCCTAACCTTTTTTTTTTTTTTTTTCCTATAACTTTCCTAACCTTGGATCAAAATCATTGGAGGCTCGTTTCCCAAAAGCTGAACTGAAAAATCGTGGGTCGATCGGGTCGGAACGTTTTCCGAAAGATGAGCTCATCATTCTAAAATAAAAAAATACATTTATTCAAACAAATAATGTAATAAAAACAATCCACAAGCACAATCCTTAAGCCCCAAATGTAGAGAAGAAAAGGACCCATAGAGATGAGAAAAAAGAACCGATAATCTAGCGGGATTGAACCGTTGACCTCTCGACCAAGTTACAAGACTCTTAGCCAGTTGGCAATGATAAAAGATGCTTGAAACTCTTGTTCAAAGACCAAGCTTGACCAATCGCTGACCAAGCTTGACCAATCGCTGGCCAAGCTTGACCAATCGCTGGCCAAGCTTGACCAATCGCTGGCCAAGCTTGACCAATCGCTGACCAAGCTTGACCAATCGCTGGCCAAGCTTGACCAATCGCTGGCCAAGCTTGACCAATCGCTGGCCAAGCTTGACCAATCGCTGACCAAGCTTGACCAATCGCTGGCCAAGCTTGACCAATCGCTGGCCAAGCTTGACCAATCGCTGACCAAGCTTGACCAATCGCTGACCAAGCTACTTGTTAGCCCAATCGCTTTGAACATTTCAATTAAACCCTTTCATATAATTCTAGTCTGTCTGACAATGAGCAAATCTTGCAATTAGCCTAGGATAAAAGTCCGGTATCAAGCCTGAATCTAAACCTGAACCTAGCTTAACCTGGATGGTGCTAGACCCCAATTTGATCTGATTCTAGTGCTAGACTCAAAATTTGTCTCTTCTAAATCTGGAGAATCTTTGCAAAGATCTGGAGAATCTTTGCAAAGATCTAGAGAATCTTTTCAGCTCTCGAAATTTCCCATTCTGTGCAGAAAAGTAGCTTCTCTTTTCTGTAGAATCTTATTTAATGTTTTGATTTGAATATCTGATTCTCTTGTCCCGCCTCGAAAAGATCGTTTTTATGATCAAAGGGACGGAGCTGGAGGGAGAGAGAGACAATACGCCTTCGTATTGTCTCTTCGTATTGCTTTTCGTATTGCTTGAAACACTGAACCAACTATAGATTCTAAATTGCAAGGGATATGGGATGAAATTACGAGATTCCTGTGTTCGCTAGAGCTCCGAAGAACAAACTGACACTTCGAACTCTCTTGTCCCGCCTCGAAAAGATCGTTTTTATGATCAAAGGGACGGAGCCCACTTTGTATTGTCTCTTCGTATTGCTTTTCCTATTGCTTTTCGTATTGCTTGAAACATTGAACCAACTATAGATTCTATTTTATTATATTTTCTCGCTAGATTAGTATTGTGCTAGATTCGGAATAAATATCTAATAATCATTTCCCCCAGCGGTACTCTCTCACGCACTGCACAGTAATCATAATTTTTTTCTTTTGTCTTTTGTTTACTTTTCTGCTCGAAAGTTGGTCAAAAAGTGAAAATCCGTATTCCTAATTAGCAAATATTTTATATTGATTGTTTTTTTTGAATCTTGAACGATTTTGTATTGGAATTTTGATCTAATACGGTTCCAATACGGCTCGAATACGGTTCCTATTTTGATCTAATAAGATTCCAATACGGTTCCAATATGGTTCCTATTTTGATCTAGTAAGGTTCCAATACGGTTCCTATTTTGATCTAGTAAGGTTCCAATACGGTTCCAAGACGGTTCCAATACGGTTCCTATTTTGATCTAGTAAGGTTCCAATACGGTTCCAAGACGGTTCCAATACGGTTCCTATTTTGATCTAGTAAGGTTCCAATACGGTTCCAATACGGTTCCAAGACGGTTCCAATACGGTTCTTTTTTTGATCTAATACGGTTCCAATACGGTTCCTATTTTGATCTAATATGGTTCCAATACGCTTCATTTTCGATTTGATTGCTAATAAGTGTAAGAAAACAAAGCGAGCTTTAATCACTTCACTTTTTCATTATTTCTTTTTACAAGGTAGAATATTTCAAGTTCTATCTTTTGATCTCTGAAAAAATAGCTGTTGACGTGGTTAAAACTCGTTTTTCTTTTGTATACTTATTGAAAAGCAGACCAAGAAATGAACAGTTTTTAGCTCATGGAGCCCACTTTGTATTGTTCTCTTCGTATTGCTTTTCGTATTGCTTTTCGTATTGTTTGAAACACTGAACCAACTATTCTATTTTATTATATTTTCTCGCTAGATTAGTATTGTGCTAGATTCGGAATAAATATCTAATAATCATTTCCCCCAGCGGTACTCTCTCACACACTGCACACATTCCATTTTCAAGTTTGCCCGATTTTCTTCATGACCAGAATAATTATAAAGGGATAATTTGAAAATTTTCAACTAAATTTCAACTAAATTTATGAAATAATCGCTTTAAAACTAATAAACATTTGAAATTTTCTTTTTCAAACCTTGGGTCAAACTCAGCGGATCGCTTTCCAAAGGCACTGCTGAAAAAGCGCGGATCCATATCGGCTGAACGTTTCCCGAATGAAGCAGAGAAAAGTCTAAAGTAAAAACGAAATGAAAGCAATCATTTTTTTCTTCTATAAGCATTGAAGAAACAATAGATAGAGAAGGATTTAAAAAAAGCGCACTTCAATTTTCTTAAAATCGACCTTGGATCCTCTCCACCAAATGCTAGACGAGGGGATCTTTTGCCGAATGCAGAGGAGAACATACGGGGATCGACTGCCGAAGAACGCTTGCCGAAAGATGAGGAAAAGAGGCTGAATGGAGAGTATCGATTTGAATTTATCGATTTGAACACTTTGAATGTACAAGTTCTTGTACTCATTGCTCTTTTGTACTTTGTAAAAACGAGAACTTCTTTTTCCGGCCCACTAAACCAAGTGTGCCAGAAAGAGTGCATTTCTGCAGCATAAACAACACTTAACGACAACATTTCTAATCTAAAAGGGTTTATTTTCAAAGACAATCGTAGTCAAACCGTTATTTTACATTTAATTAGTCTAATTTTGATCTCAAAGATCAACGAGCTTAGCTTCAAGATCAACGAGTTTAGCTCAACGATCAACGAGCTTAGCTCAAAGATCAACGAGCCTAGCTCAAAGATCAACGAGCTTAGCTCAAAGATCAACGAGCTTAGCTCAAAGATCAATGAGCCTAGCTCAAAGATCAACGAGCTTAGCTCAAAGATCAACGAGCTTAGCTCAACGATCAACAAAGCTTACTAGGGAAAACCCGAACTCAAGTTGAGATTTTCTCTGGAAACTTAGTGCATTTTATAGAATCGAGTATGAGGAATCCGAATCTAAAAACAAAATCTACCAAATTACATTCTAGACAAAACTTCAATCAAACATTCGAATAGAAAAGAAAAAGCAAACAGGATGCATTGGGGCCCGAACCCTCATCCTGTGGGCGAGAGCCTAATGCCTTATCCACTAGGCCACCAACCTTCTTTGCTTTGTGCCTGAAAGAGCCTTTTAGAGCATTCGTTTAGAAAAAGTTGGTTATTGAAATTCAATTACTTTGCCAAAATTTCGTTTGAAGTTTGAAGGCGGCTTTAAAACGCTCTTTCCTAGGTAGGGGGAGGGACGTCGGTGGCCGAGTGGATAGCGAATTAGGCTGCCGCCCAAAGGATCCGGGTTCGGTCCCCAAGGCTTTCTTTTTCGTTTTTCTTTTTGAGCAACTTCTAGCATTTTTCATCTAATCGCTAGGCCACCATCTAATTGGTTATTGGTCTAATATATTCTAATAATATAATTCATCTAATTGGTCTAATCTCTAATATAATTCATCTAATTGGTTATTTAGGTTCAATTTGATACAAAATTCAATTCAATTTCAGTGTTTTGTGATCGATTTTCATTGTTGTTAATTGGTTTTGGTTTGTTTTTTTTGAAAGGAGTATTTAGTTGACAATAAACTGACAATAAACTGACTTTACTAGGGTAATTTTATAAAATAATTGCTTTTTAGCAAACGTATTAGGTAAAAGAAAGAATTGAATCAACTTTGAATGATTAAAAATCGATTATGACTACCTACAACTGTGAGAACAAACCGTGGATCGAAATCCGCACTAGATCCTGCACTTCTTTTGCCAAGCGATGAAGAGAAAAGCCTGAATTTTGAGGTTGTACAATTAAAAAAGACAAATTTGGGTTTATTTTTAAATTTTAGAACTCATTAAACTTTAATCTTTACTTTAATCCTTGATATTTGACTAATTGATCACTACAGTACGACAAATCACTACAAGAAATGTGCTTTGTGCTTCAAACCGTAAAAAATCCCTTCTAGCGCACTGATTCTTCACTTTTCTTTCAAAAAACAACTCTTTTTACACAAAAAATGAAGAATTCAGTGAAGAAAGGTGACAGCAGTACAAAATACAGAAAAAACTACAGTAAATCTATTCAACAACAATCTGAACATCTGATCCAGTCTACTCCTATACATCAGATAGAGCTGAAGATGAGTGCAAAAAGCTCGGCACACATTTAGCCTCAATTCACAGCGAGAAAGAGAACGATTTTGTGAAGAGTTGGTTTCAAGCAGCCTTGCACTCGTACTTTGTGCTTAAAAATGTGAAAACTCTCTTTCTAACGCATGTATTCCTTTTTCTGACTATGAGTGAAGGTTTTCTTAAAGCAATCATTTGCTGTTGTGAGGCAAGAATTGAGTGATTATGTCAGAAAGTACCGTCTTCTCTCTAATAGTAGTGCACCGCACCGAGCCGAGTTGATGACTATTTTACGGGTTTTAAGTCTTCGCAGAAGCTCAACACTCTAATCCCCCCACAAGATCTCATCGTCAGCTATATTTTCCAACCCAACATCGATAGGTTCTGATAAGCGGTTCTCGAAATTTCGAGGAATTTAAACGACGATCAAGGTGCACTACTATTAGAGAAAGTACGATAACTAAATGTGTTCAATTACTGAGCATTAGATTCAATTATATATACCGTATTCTCTCTAATAGTAGTGCACAGCATCGAGCCGAGTTGATCACTATTTTACGGCTTCTAAAGTTTTCACAGAAGCTCAACTCTCTAATCCCCCACAAGATCTCATCGTCAGCTATATTTTCCAACCCAACATCGATAGGTTCGGATAAGCGGTTCTCGAGATTTCGAGCAATTTAGGCGATGCGTTGATGCTTATTTTACGGTTTCTAAGTTTTCCCAGAAGCTCAACACTTTAATCACCCATAAGATCTCATCGTGCACTGCTATTAGAGAAACGGTAACTAAATGTGTTCAATTACTGAGCATTAGATTGGACCTCAATTATATATACCGTATTCTCTAATAGTAGTGCACCCCGGCGAGCCGAGTTGATGCCGATTTTACGGTTTCCAATTTTTCCCAGAAGCTCAACACTCAAATCCCCCACAAGATCTCATCGTCAGCTACATTTTCCGATCCCACATCGATAGGTTCTGATAAGCGGTTCTCGAGATTTCGAGTAATTTAAACGACGATCAAGGTGCACTACTATTAGAGAAAATACGGTAGATTTAAAATTATTCAAAATGAAACCTTGGATCAATGTAGGCTTTCCTCTTGACACCATTTCGTTTTAGCAAGAAATTATCGTAAACAATGAAGAAACTGAAAAAAGGGACACTGACGGGATTAAGGGAAAAAGAGAAATAAAATATGATAAATAGGGTAACTGCAAAATTAAATTTCACAAGAAAACTCAAAATCTCAAAGATTTACAACAGTTTTACAGGCTATTTTCGTTTTCCGAAAGAAATTGACTTACTTTGGATTTATCCTGTTCAAGAAATACGGAATTACTCACTTTGGATACTCACTTTGGATACTCACAAGAAATACTCACTTTGGATTTATCCTGTTCAAGAAATACGGTGACGGTTGCGCTTCTGAAAGGGAAAATTTCAATTTGGATTTAAAATTTTGAAGAAAATCTGTTAATCTTTATGTTCTTAAAGGCTTAAATCGATCTTTTTCACTTTTTTTCTTCAAATTTTTCACAAACAATAAACGACAGCTAACTCACCATCAATTTCCACCAAATCTGCGCTGAAATTGAATGATTAAATTGAAATTTTGAGAGATAAATGAAGAATTATTGGTGTGCTTAAAGATTCCAACAATTTTTTAGACAATCTGCCTTGCTCTTGCCTCTTGCCTTGCTCTTGCCTTGCTCTTGCCTTGCTCTTGCCTTGCTCTTGCCTTGCTCTTGCCTTGCTCTTGCCTTGCTCTTGCCTTGCTCTTGCCTTGCTCTTGCCTTGCTCTTGCTCTAACCAAAGCTCTTTCGAGGAGGAAACCTAGTCCCCCAGCAAGCCTTTATTCTGAGCTTCATTTTGAAATGAACGTCGAAATGATCAAAAGAAAGAATTTTGAGAGTATTTTTTTATAAAACTATTCTTTTACATCATCATTTGCACACTTTGATGGCTTTGTCTATTTTATGCTTTTAAGAGCGGGAAACCAGCTTTCGAATGAGCTTTGGGCAGTAAAAAAAATCGAAGGGTGAGACAGACTGTCTGAAAATTTGGACCGAATTCGTTAAGCTGGTCTATTGGTTGTCCAAAGTACAGCTAGTGTTAACCAATTTTTGAATAGTTTAACTTTTAGGAATACTAATTGAACTAAATGCTTCAGGACTTTAGATTACCAATTACTGAACTACAGTTCATCCTTACTAGTGCCCAAGTTTTCCCCTGGACTTGGTAGGCTCAACTTTTTCAAAACCAAGTAAGTCGGAATCAGGATTTGGATTAATCCTGATCCAAATCTTGATTGTCTATCTTATGCTTTTACTGGGAAATCAGCATACTGAGGGTTTTTCTGCTCTTAGTTTGCGAACGGCGCATAGTAGAGTCCGGCGCAAGGTTGGAGGTGCTTCTTTTTGCTTCAAAAGGTTAATTCTATTATATTTAAGCTTTTGTTAAAAAAAAGTAATATGCTTGACTGGAGGTGGGTTCGAACCCTCACCCAGGAATGGAGCTCTGACCTTTGGAGCGAACGCACTCACTACTTGGCCATTGCGCTCTTCGCAGGAATGGAGCTCTGACCTTTGGAGCGAACGCACTCACTACTTGGCCATTGCGCTCTTCGCAGGAATGGAGCCTGACCTTGGGCGAACGCACTCACTACTTGGCCATTGCGCCTTCGCAGGAAGGAGCTCTGACCTTTGGAGCGAACCGCTCACTATGGCCATTGCGCTCTTCGCAGGAATGGAGCTCTGACCTTTGAGCAACGCGCTCACTATTGGCCATTGCGCTCTTCGCAGGAAGGGCTCTGACCTTTGGAGCGAACCGCTCACTACTTGGCCATTGCGCTCTTCGCGGGAAGGAGCTCTGACCTTTGGCAACGCTCACTATTGGCCATTGCGCTCTTCGCAGGAATGGAGCTCTGACCTTTGGAGCGAACGCGCTCACTACTTGGCCATTGCGCTCTTCGCAGGAATGGAGCTCTGACCTTTGGAGCGAACGCACTCACTACTTGGCCATTGCGCTCTTCGCAGGAATGGAGCTCTGACCTTTGGAGCGAACGCGCTCACCGCTTGGGCATCGCTCTTCACAGGCGGGGGGCAATTAAATTTCAGGGAGTGCGGCCGTTTCCCGAAAAAAAGGAGAAGAGCTTAAGGCCATTCACATACAAATTCTCCCATTCATCTGGTAACATATTGTAGATTTTGGGTTGGCCTGGTTTGAATGCGGTTTTAGAAGGGTTCAAAGAGGGAAATTGCAAGGGATATGGGATGAAATTACGAGGTTGTGTTCGCCAGAGATTCCTGTGTTCGCTCCGACGAACAGACTGACATTTCGAAATGATTTAGGTTAGATTAGGCCATTTCTCTTCTTCTAAATTCTGTTCATATCATTTCTTGAACTCACCTTTGTACATATTGCAATATAATAGAGAAAGCGATGACCGCACTTGGGAGGATCGCTCGCGAGAGCGAGGCCATTGTTTTACCTGAAATTTGAAAGAAATTAAGGCATTGAGATGAGTTTTTTTAAATCATTAAAAGAGATTTTGATTTCTATTTTATAAGATATAGCATTCAAGGTTTGTGAAAGCGAATTATTGGGTTGGTGAATTGAAAACTGCGGGCTATTGTCATATGTGAAAGTTTGAGCACTTTCTTCAAAAGAAACCCATTTTGGTGTCAATGGAAAAGTTGCAGAGAATCAAAAATCAAGCTTATATCCAAATTTTCAGAACGATTCAAAAACTGGTTTTCAAGGAATGCCAAATTTACGAATTTTCACAAAACTTGCATTTTAAGCGAAACTACTAAGTGTATCTTTTTGGAAATTTGGCTATAAGCCTAATTTTTGATTCTCTACAACTTTTCTATTGACACCAAAATGGGTTTCTTTTGAAGAAAGTGCTCGAACTGGGCTGACAGCTGACATCTCCAGTCCTCCATTTTTGAGTCTCACACTTGTCTCACACACAAACCAGAATCCTACTACGAAAGGAAATCCTTTCTTTCTCGAATTGTGACAGGAGATGAGAAATGGGTTTTATCTGTGAACTTTCGGAGCAAGCGGCAATGGGTGTGGCCAGGTGAGAAACCCGAAAGTGACCCCAAGCCCGATTTGCACTAGAAGAAGTTTATGGTCTGCGTTTTCTGGGATATGGAGGGAGTGGTGTACTGGAAGTTGGATAGCAAGACGACCCTTAATGCAATCAGTGAACAGTTGGGAAAGGTGAATGAATCTTTGAAGAAGAATAGGCCCTCCAAGTCAAAGATCGTTCTCCTCCACGACAACGCGCCCTCATGTTGCAAAACTGACTCGCTCTAAAATAAATAGCCTTGTTTGGGAACTTTTGGCGCATTCCCCATACAGTCCGGACCTTGCCCCTTCTGATTACAATTTATTCCGGATCATGAGTAATGAGCTTGCGGGAGAACACTTCGATTCGGAAGAAGCCGTCAAAAATTGGCTTTGAAAGTTTTTCGATTCAAAACCAAAATCCTACCACGAAAGAGGAATCCGCAAATTGGCTGTAAAATGGGCAGAAGTCGTCAATAATAATGGGACTTGTTTGGAATGAATTAATGATTTTATGTTGAATAAATTTTAGCTCAAAGTACCGCAGTTTTCAATTCACCAACCCAATATAGTATTAATGGTTTGTGAAAGCGAATCAGAACACTAGAAAAAGTAAAACTTTGTTTTAAAAGAGCCTCAAGAGTTTAAAGCTCTAGAATCTCCAATAGAATGCCGTAGATTTTGTGCTGAAGATTCTCACTATTTATTGTTCAAACTTCTACCGTTGGAACAACGATTTTGGTGATAGAGAATAGATTTGTTCATGGATTAATCAAAAGAAAACTTAACTGGAAATGAATTAATCAAAATTAATCAAAATCGAGTAAAATTCAACTTCAAAATTCGTTATTCAGCTTTTTAAAGTGTAGAAAAGTTTGAATTTAAAGTTTCTTTTAAATAAAACTGATAAGTAAACAAATCAGACAATTTCCAGTAAAAAGGAAGATATTTGAAGGCTTTAAAACAAGATTATAGTTGAAAAGTGAAAGATTTTCTATGAATTCCGATAAAAATTGAGGAAGTGCTTCAGGAAATCTGACGTTTTTGATGAAATTTCTTTCAATTCTTATTTTTCTGTCTTTTCATCTCTTTATCAAAGAAAATCGCACATTTATTAGTTGAAGATCGGGCAAATTTCAGCTTAGAAACCTTTCATTATAGCCATTAGACTTTTGTTGACAAAAATAAAAAAGTATAGAAGAAAATTGCCAGTTTGTTCAAAGGTTTAAGTTCTTTGAAAGCTCTTGAAAGCTTTGAAAGCTCTTGAAAGCTCTTGAAAGTTCTTGAAAGTTCTTTGAAAGCTCTTGAAAGTCCTTTGAAAGCTGTTGAAAGCTCTTGGAGGTTCTTTGAAAGCTTTGAAAGTTCTTTGAAAGCTCTTGAAAGCTCTTGAAAGCTCTTGAAAGCTTTGAAAGCTCTTGAAAGCTCTTGACAGCTCTTGAAATCTTTATTTAATCTTTATTTAATCTTTATTTAAACTTAACTCCATTGGAAACTCTGTTAAGCTTATTAGTAGATAGAATTCAAGTTGAAGAATGCAAAAATGAACAGGATACTTTAGTCTAGCCGTTATCTATCGCTAAAAGTACTGTAGTTGAGGGGTTGTGGGTCCTTTTATACGCGCCGTCCCTTTGCCATTGGCAATCTAACTTTAAGCTCAAATTTCTTTGTTAATGGCAAAGGGGCGGAGCTTATTAGACAGTCTAACAAAAGAAAGAGAAGGATTGGCATCGGAAAATGGGTCAAGAGAGATCAGTTATTGATCGATTGGTATAAAAACTATTTAAATTGAATAGCCAAGAGCCAAGAAATTTGAGCTCAAAGTTGAATTGCCAATAGCAAAGAGGGCGGGGTTGTGAGACCTTTTATACGCGCCTTGCCCCTTTGCCATTAGCAATCCGACTTTGAGCTTAAATATCTTGGTGTTGAACTGTCCAATTTAAATCTTCTTGGTATCATTAGATGCGTCAAGTCTTTCTCTATTGATTGGTATAAAAACTATTTAAATTGAACAGCCCAACACTGAGAAATTTGAGTTTAAAGTTAGGTTGCTAATGGCAAAGCGGCGGAGCTTATTAGACAGTCTAACAAAAGAAAGAGAAGGATTGGCATGGGAAAATGGGTCAAGAGAGATCAGTTATTGATCGATTGGTATAAAAACTATTTAAAACCAAGAAATTTGAGCTTAAAGTTAGATTGCCAATGGCAAAGGGACGGCGGGTATAAAAGGCCCCATAACCCCGCCCCTTTTGCCATTGGCAATCTAACTTTAAACTCAAATTTCTCGGTGTTGGGCTGTTCAATTTAAATAGTTTTGATACCAATCGATAGAGAAAGACTTGACGCATCTAATGATACCAAGAATATTTAAATTGGACAGTTCAACACCAAGATATTTAAGCTCAAAGTCGAATTGCTAATGGCAAATGTCCTACAATCGAAATTAGAACATTTTCTCTTTATCAAATCATTCCTTTTTTCAAACAGGTGCTTTAATTTTTCGCTAATTCTTGAGAACAAAAGTGATATTTCAAATTTTGAAGAGAATTTTGGAGATTTGGAGATTTGAAAAGGTTTGAGATTTAAAAAATAAATGAAAAAAGCATGGTGGTAATAAATTAGTGAAAATTCTCAAAGAATTAAAAAAAAAATACCGACTGGGGCTACCAGTGGTGAATTTATCGCATACACGAAATATATCAATCACAATACAACGACACACACAATACTAGGCTATATCTTAACTTAACCCACGTCATGACAGACGGCTCCCTAACCCTAAGCTCAATGGGGAACTAAATAGCTTTTTTGGTGGTGAAGGGAAGATGACGATGAAGGAGTGGCTTGTCACTTTAAAGAACTGGGGCCACAACCACCAGACTGCCCTCCAGAAAACCTCTCAACCCGAAGGGAAAGGAAATCCGAAGGGGGTGACCATGTCGCATGTGGCGTTCGAACCCTCGACCTTCCGATTAAGATAAAAGACACTTAACTAGTCAGCCACACGTGCTCGAAAAGGTTTGAGATTTAAAAAATAAATGAAAAAAGCATGGTGGTAATAAATTAGTGAAAATTCTCAAAGAATTGAAAAATTAAAATGATAAAGAGTTAAAATTTAACATTTTGTATTCAAAAAAGTTTCAGAATCATGAAAAAATTGAATTGAAATGGAATTGAGTGCACTAGAAAAGGGAAAACTAGTAGCAATTGGGAATCTTTTGGGGAGTGGGACAAATGCGACCTTTTTTTTGCGCACCCGGACATTTGCGCACCTTTTTTTGCTGGAAAAGGCCTTAGGAAAGGTCGTAGAGCTTCAAAAACGTTTTCATATAAGGGAATCGTATGCATAGATTTCGAATTTCGACAAATCACACCTCGCTGACACGTCAAATTTGGGCTAAAAGGCAAAAACTACGCAACGAAGCTGGCTAGATTTTTTGGCTGGCTAAATGGAAATCTACCAGGAGTTATAAGCATCTAAGCCCTACGCAACTTAACGCTTTTCCGCAGTTTTTGCCTTTTAGCCCAAATTTGACGTGTCAGCGAGGTCTGATTTGTCGAAATTCGAAATCTATGCATACGATTCCCTTCTGTGAAAACGTTTTTGAAGCTCTACGACCTTTCCTAAGGCCTTTTCCAGCAAAAAAAAGGTATGCAAATGTCCAGGTGCGCAAAAAAAGGTAGCATTTGTCCCACCCCCCATAATTTCGGCACCTTTTTTTTGCTGGAAAAGGCCTTAGGCAAGGCCGTAGAGCTTCGAGAATATTTCGAAAATATTTCCATATAAGGGAATCGTATGCGTAGATTCCGAATTTCGACAAATCAGACCTCGCTGACACGTCAAATTTGGGCTAAAAGGCAAAAACTGCGGAAAAGCGTTAAGTTGCGTAGTTTTTGCCTTTTAGCCCAAATTTGACGTGTCAGCGAGGTCCGATTTGTCGAAATTCGGAATCTACGCATACGATTCCCTTATATGGAAATATTTTCGAAATATTCTCGAAGCTCTACGGCCTTGCCTAAGGCCTTTTCTAGCAAAAAAAGGTGCCGAAATGTCCGGGTGCGCAAAAAAAAGGTCGCATTTGTCCCACTCCCCATAATTTTCACTAAAAGTACGGCAATTTTTCCTAAGCGTGCGTTTTAAAGAAGTTTCGAAGAGGGATTATTCGCGAGGAACACACTTTAGCCTATACCATTAAACGCAGAATTTGATGCTGATTCCGAATAGATATTCCGTTTTTGCTAAATGACAATCTGCGGGAGTGGGACAAATGCGACCTTTTTTTTTGCGCACCCGGACATTTGCGCACCTTTTTGCACCTTTTTTTCCGCACCTTGCCCATTAGCGCACCTTTTTTCGCGTTTTAAAAAAGCTCTAAAAGCTAATATTAACCAATTTCTATTCCAAAAG